TCACCAGCCAGGTTCTCTCTCTCTCTCTCTCTCTCTCTCTCTCTCTCTCTCTCTCTCTCTCTCTCTCTCTCTCTCTCTCTCTCTCTCTCTCTCTCTCTCTCTCTCTCTCTCTCTCTCTCTCTCTCTCTCTGTCTCTCTCGGCTTTCTTGGAGCAAGGAGAGAGGCGGGTGTTAAAATGAAGAAGCATGTCATTGTCAGGAGTGGGGGCAGCCGCAGCGAATGAAAGTTTGGCAGAGTACCTCATGAGAGCCATGAAGCATTTTGAGACATTAATTGGTGCTGTTTCATTCTTGGAGCTTGGTGGCGATGTCACGGCTCATGCTGTCCAATCATTCCTTGCGTGGCAGTTGCGAAGCAGCCAATTGTGGATACTGCACTTGAGCAACTTATGATGGCAGTTTTGAAGGACAGCAAACCTAATGGTTGCTCAGTGGTGCACGCAGAACCCGGAATTGGGAAACCAGTGGCAACAGCACTAGCGGGGCAAAGACAGATGAGCAACTAGATCCACCATTTCTCAGACGCGTTTTTCAGAACGATTAGGCAGTGATTGTTCAGCAATTTAGAACAGGCTGGTTCAAACCTCGTTTGTTTGCATCAGGTTGTGACCTCAAGTTCGAAGCAGGAAGTGTGTGAGTCTGCTGACGCCCGCATCAGGATGGATTCTAATCTCAAAGCCGAGAGTGGAGGACGATGAGTGCAGGGCGAGCACAAACAAGAATCGCTTAAAAAAACAGCAGTAAGATTGTGACGTGGAGATGTTGTGATGCAGGCGAATCGAACCTGTAAGAGTGCGCCGGACTGACCAGGAACGCTGCGAATTTCAGAAAACAGGGCGAAATTCAGACAAACAAAATTCAGACAACACCAAAGTGAAATTAAGAAAACACCAAGGCAAAATTCAGAAAACAAAAACAAAATTCAGAAAACAAAAGCGAAATTCAGAAAACAACGGCGAAGTTCGGCAAACTAGCGCAAACAAGTACGCAATTCAGAAGGCGGACAAGAAAGGAAGGCCGGGACGGTCGGGATGGTCGGGAAGGTCGGGACTGTCGGACGCTGGATGGCTGGAAGATGGCACTCGCCATGAACGTCGGTCGGACGCTGGATGGCTGGAAGATGGCACTCACCATGAACGTCACCAGCGCTTCAGCAGATCCTGATATCGAAGTGTGGATGTCATGGTTGGCATGTGCTTTCGTGGTAAATCCTGACCTTGATTTCTTAGCCAATTCCGCGGGCGAACGATTTGCAATGATGGATATCAAGCTGGCCCTATCGCTCCAGACGATGCTCAGAAGTGCACCTGATGATGCGAAGGACGTGGTACATGATATCCAGCCACGAACGACGTCAGACAGAAAACAGGTTAATCAAGGGAAGAGAGATCATCGCTATCATCTTACAATCCTTCAGATCGAGTGACCGATCAGACATGGTTTTCACCGTTGAGCACTTGATCAGACTGGAATAGCCCGGGGACTAGAACATGTCTGTGTTCCGCAGCAAGTGGTATGATATCTTGCTCAACCTGAGGAAGGAGGATACACCCAGAGAAATCACGCTACGGGATATCCTATATCACAAGATCAAAGGAAGCAGGCTACCGATTCCTTTTGGGATTGATCGATCGACAACTTCGGACTGATCGCGAAGACTACGTCTACGACATGAAAGAGAAGTTGGTCAAGAACTCGCCCTCGGTCACCTTGCGTAAAGATAGCAAGTCGTGCTTACTGGGCTTTCACAGTGCTTTTGCCAGTACCTCAGTCTCTACACTAGCCCTGCCACCTCTCTTGCCTTGCCTCGCCGCTGCCGATGCTTGCGCAGAGGGAGATACTGTCGGGATAGGTGGTTGGTTCCTGACCAGCAACGCATTTGCATGGTTTGCGGAGACATGGAACATGTCCGATATATGGCATACTTGCCTGCGCAGCGACACATCGCCTGCTTCGAGACAATTGCACAATTTGCGCTGCTGCAGATTTCTCACGCGACTGCAGACCAAGGGCGCTACAATTTTACGCTTGCTGCAGGCACCGACAACTCGGCAACAGAAGCCGACATAAACAAAATGTTTACTACGTCTTGGCCAATGCAGGTGTTCTTACAGCTGATTGCCTCTTGGGCCCATTTGCACAGTGTAGTGTTGCAGCCAACACATGTTGCGGGCGCAGCCAATGGCCTTTTGTTTCTTCTCGAAATTTCAAGTCTGCGGATGGCTCGGCCGTTGAAAAATTCTTTACACGGGAAATGGTAAAATTTGCCATCCGTGCTCCAAATCCAAAGATGTGGCCACGGCTGAATTTCTTAGTGTTTTGAGACTGACATGATAAAACGGCCATCGGCCTTGATAAAACGGCCATTGGCGTCCTGGGCCGATGATCTCAGCTGCAACAGACTTTGCCAACCAATCGCAGCAACGGCTTCGGTTTACCCCGGAGAGTATCAACAGCTCAGGTCGGCACCTGACAGTGCATCCGGCCAATGCACCTTGGAGGCCCGAACACCGCGCTGTCACTAGGACTTTCCAACCGACTTTGCCCTGCGCCGCAACCAGTGCCGTGCACAGCAAGGAAAAAAGAGCGCTCTCTTGAGCCCAGCTCACGACATGAACACACTGGGGATCGCACCTGTTTTCCAACTGCGCGTTGCCAGGCTCACGCAACCCGCTCTGAAGTGGGGGAGCTCAGCGAAATCCGGGTTGCGCTGGACACTGAGGAGCGGGTTAATAGAGCCTCCTCTAGCTGAAGCCGTGCACCGCAGTGCGCCGCTTTGCATCAGCTAGTGACTCCAGCGCAACCCGGATACAAAAGAGGAGTGCGTCTCTTTCGCGTCGAGGGTTGGGTTGTTTAGGTTGGAGCAGTGCATGTTTCCCTATAACATGTGGGCGTTTTATCTTGAAGCGCTTTTCTGCCTCCAAAACCCCTGGTTTTTAGTAGGTGCTGCGGGCAGGACGTTGGAGTATAGTGAAGGTCGAACACGCGTTGTTGACTTCGGGGTATGTATGCAGGCTCCGCGCGGGATGCACATGACATGGGTCGGACACGCGTTTTCGATCCATCTGCATCCCTGAGCCTGTCACCTCTGAGCAACACCTGACAAAAACGAGCTGAGCGCTGCTTGACTTATCAGTTGTACTCGAAAGACGAAATCTCTCCTTTGGGAGTCTAAGTGTGTGTGTTCTGTTGGTTCGTGTCTTTGTCTGTTGTTTGTGCGTGTGCTTGTGTGTCCGTGTGTGCGTGTCTGTGCATGACACGAGCGAGTCGCGCAGCCTTGATGAACGCGCGTCTTGGTTGCGAAGCGGCGTCGGCCTTTGCTGCACGGGGGCTCTGGTCTGCGAGACGAGCCGACAGAGCTGCGTGGCACGATGCCTGGCGTTCATGAGGAGCTCAAGCAAGACTTTTCTCTTCGTGCTGTTGTTTGCAAGCATCTGGCCACGACTCTGATGTTGGTGCAGCTCTTCGTTTTTGTGTCTCACTTGGCTTTTGGGCCACAACTCTGAGGTTAAACGAGTACAGCCTCTTCTGCACTGTAGTGCAAAAAGTCCAAACTTCGGCCGATCGGCGCAATGTGAAAATGCACTGCTTTTGAACTTGCCACAGAAACCGTGACTAGATTTTCTCAGGGCAATTCTAATTTTCAAGTGGTGTCGCTTGCCATCGAAAGGTCTGCAGAGAATGCTTGCAGAAAGGAACTATTGCAGCGAGCACCTGGGTGGAAAGGGAAGCAAATTCCTTCCATCTGATCCACAAGCCTGCGTGCTCAGCAAGACGGGTCAGGTCGTTCACATGCCTGCAAAACAAAGAAAGAAGATAATTTAAACAGTTTGGTGCCGGTAAATCTATTCTCCAAACTGGAACAAGCGCAGCTGGATTCTAAGCCTTGCACAGCAGTTTTGAGTTGAGCTTCAGTTTTGCACGTTTCAATCAAGTACAGTTTTGCGTATTCGCATGTTCACATGTGCTTGCAGGTCAAATTGTTGACAGTTGCGACCATTTGGTGATTTCTCATTTGTCCAGGATTTTTGACTCGATTGTTTACTGGGATGCTGAGTGGGATGAATTGCTTTCCCAAGGAATGCGTTAATCGTGCAGAAACAAGGCCTGGAAAGGCAACTGAAGGCTGGACATTGGTTAATTTGGTCGTGCTAGATGCGATAGGAAGTTGGGCGGGTCACTGTTGAGTTCTTCTCCAGTTGGTCATTTTCGGAGTTTCAATTTTGTTTGCGCAAGAGGAATGGCGCAAAGAGAGAACCAGAAGCAGTCCGTTCAATGTAAACAGCGCAAACAAATGCGTAACATAAGTTGGCGGAGAAATTGTGCAAGAGAAATTGCACAGAGAAAACGGACAATAGAGCCTCGCAGAGCAATTGCACGGGGAATTTGCACAAAAGATGGGGGGGGGAGGGAGAGAGAGCGAGAGACAGAGAGAGAACGCCAGAAAGAGAAAAGGGGAGAGAGAGAGAGAGAGAGCGAGAGCGCGAGCAGGACATATGTGCGGGCGGAGAAGTTGCGCAAAAACAGCACAAGAGACATTGCCAGAGAAGCTGCGCGTGAAATTGCAGCACAAACGCGCTTGCACGAGAGAATGAGACGGCTGCGGGAGTTTGATTGGAACAGGTTCAGTGCGAGGAGAACTTAAGCAAAAGACATGAGTCAACGGGGTGCGAGCGAGTTGGATTGGAATGCAAAAGAACATCTACAGAAGTATGACTGCTTTTGATTTTTGCATCCTTCACTAGGCCCGAGATACGCCACCATTCTACCCCGGGTGACGTGTCCAAAACGTTCTGCATTGAAACAGTGAGTTCTTTTGCCGAGTCACTTGCTCGCATGATTGCCCAGTGCATGGGCTGCCGAGTGGCGCGCGCGTGGTTTTACTTTTTGCCGAAAGGGGCGATGAGGTCAGATCAAACCGCGTGACTTTTGGACACCATCAGCTTTGCGTAGTCCTTGACTCCGTGACCTATTTTCTTTGCGTGAACGCTGCTCTTGCCTTTTTGGCCCTCAGTGGGGTGGGAGCGCCATGTGCGCTGATCCACGCCCCATTCGGAATTGTTAGTTCAGGGTCCAGCGCTTATTTTGGCTGGTTGTCAGGGAATAAGGGAAGGACTCAGAATGACCCCTATGAGCCATTTGTGGTTTCCTTTTAGGGGAGTCCTTCACGAACGCCCCAAAACTTATTCCTTACGAAGAACCAGAAAGGCAACGGCCAAACGCACTGCGCCCATGTCAGGTTGCTCAGGGATTCTATCCTTGCTGTGACCTCCCACGTTTTCGTGGCTTGTCGTAATGCGAGCTTGGCTGAGTTATCGGAGGGCATGTGAACTTTGCAGGTCCCAAGCCTGTCTGAACCTGCCAGGAAGCTCGAGTTTTCGCTACTCCTTGTCCTCCTGCCAGTCTTGGCCTTTAAAGGCTGGAAATACGAAGCCACTGTTGGAGAGCTTTGGACAGACATGCGTTGCAGCTTGTGTTTGCAGCTTCGGCGGAATTGAGCAGCTTCAAAGAGCGCGGAATGAGCGAGGTGGCCGGCGGCACGCAGGAAACGCACCGCACTCAGAGACTGGGCCTTGCCTGACGTGAGCCGTGCGGTGCGTGAGCCGTGCGTGCGATGCCGGAGCCGCCCCGGCTTTTGCCCGATCTTTTTGGATGGTATGGGCCAAAAAGACTGCCCACTCTCAGCTAGAAGCCAAAAGCTTCTGCTCGGCCAAGGAGCCTGCTGGAACGTTGTTGGAGGTGTCGTTCGGATCTTAGAGCGTTCGCTTGATTCATCTCATGCTTCATTTCGCCATTCAAAATTCAAGGTCCGACCAGTACTCCAACGGACGCCACAAGGCTGGAAACTGTAGACTGCGGGCTGCATCTTGCACTTTGATGCCTGCTCAGATTGGTGGTCAGTACCATGATGACCGAATGAAAGAGCTGCAGAAGGTAAAAGATGCCTGGAGCTCGTCTGGGTCTGGGTCTGTCTCGAACTAGTACCCGGTACTTTGTTGGCAAACCCGCAAGGAAGCCAACCATCAAGAGAGGTCCCTAATCGCGTGAAACACCCTGCTGTTTGTGCCCGGTGCCTCTATGTGGGGACCTGAACCTCACGCCTTGCTTTTGCCCTGAGGCCTTGATAGGCATGATGCAGGATGGGCAGGCTCCTGGGGGCAAGAACTTCAACTTCTACATGTCCACTGCAATGCCCCCGGTGTCACGTCTCTTTGTCTCTCGATGGTGTCTTTGATTTCTGAGGTGGTTAACATGGTCAACGTCACCATGCGGACATCTCTGGAAGAGCAGTTTAGCGCTGACAAGGCATTTCCGCTTTCGTGATACGCCTAAAAGCACCCAGCTTGCTGCTCTTCGGCCCAGGCGGTCATGAATGCCAGCTTTAGGCAGTTCGAGAGCTGCCGCAGCACTCTGGTTTCAGGCCGTGTGAGGGGCATAGGGATACGGGCAACTCTCAGACGTGCGTAACCGCATGAAGGCCTCTCCTGGCCGAATGCTGCGGCTGCCCCAGTTTTCGTCGTTCTTCCACTTGCTTGGATGTTTTGCCAACCAAGATCTTGGATGGCGGCGATTATGGAGACCAATCATACAGAAGCCCAGCTGCAAGCGCTGTTTGCTGCATGTGTAGAAGCCTTTGCTTTCCTCTCTGGAAAGGGTGTGGCATCTACCTCACTGACACACTATCTCCTTGGGGATATATCCACATCGCTCCAAGCAGAATCAACAACGAGCTTTGGGTGCCTGTATTCCCACTCGCTGGTTGCTGTTGTGGCTTGCTTGTTGGATTCTTCGTGAACCAGCCAAAAAGTGGAATCTTTTCTGGATTTGGAGATCCCCACTGTGACTTTCAATACCTGAGGCGGCCTGAGCGTCAGCAAGAAAGCCCACAACGACTGCAGAGAGATACAGGCAGGATGTATCCGGCAACCCCAACAATAACTATGCCTTCTCAAGGCCCGCCATGGATCATATCGGCCAGTTGAACACATGCTCACTTGCCCAAAGCCGACCTTTTGACCTTTTGGTTTCTGTGATTTGGTCCACTTTAAGTCATGGCCCCCCGAAAAAAACATAAAAATTAACATTTTAGATCCAGGTCCTTTGGGCAACTGAGCATGGCAGTTTGGCTTCGGTCTGTGAAGTTTCGAACGGCTGCTCTCGACTTTTCCAGGGCTCCAGGCCAAACTTTTGAGACACTCGAACCGGCGGCAAGCCCGGCAGGGTGTTTTGGATAAGTACCTCTGAGCGTGTCGTTCTTGGTGGCTTTAAAGGGAAACCAACATGACAAACACTACTTTTTGGGGGTCCCTTAAACAATTTACTCCGAATTGCGATGGTGAGGGGCATTGCATTGTCAGTGTGGATCAATCTTGATGTCGCACAAATCCACTTCACAGCCATTGGACGCTGGAACATTGAAAAGCGGCCGATGTTTCAGAGAGAGGAAGAGCCAGAGTTTCTTGGCCAGAGCTGTTTTCAAATGCAATGAGTTATAATAGGTCCCGTCACGAAGAGGTTAGTGGACAGAATCACAATATAAGTGTCCACCATGTCGGAAATCCTAACCCTGGAATGATTCGAGAACCCGTGTAAATATCAACAAACGTTATGGTTTCAGCCGTGGTTTCAGAAACCGTGGAGCAAAATCTCCGGATTTCGCAAAACCATCCACAGCCCCGCGCTCAATCGAGCACCTTTCATCTTTGCCTTCGAATCCAGAACCAGAAGAAGCAGCTCTACGACGCGTGCGTAGATGATGAGCGAATCAGGCGGATGGGCACCCGAAGATGTCGCCGAGGTTTGGCTTCATTGCAAGAAGAAGGGGAGTTGCAATTTACGGCAAGTTGCCGGAGTTTTGTGCTTGGACGTTGGCTCACCCTGGCACTTGGGTGTGTCTTACCTGCTTTTTAGTGTTGTTGTTATTTTGTTGTTGGTATTTTGTTGGCTTGCTTGCAGCGGGGCATGGCACCGTAGCTGGTGAGGTGGGCCACGGTGAAGGCAGCGTGCGATCACAACTTCGGGAAGCTGTACAACTCGGTGCGCGCGCCTGAGTCGGAGCCAGGGCTTGGCCTTGGAGCTGCAGGGGACGCCTTTTGCACGTGACTGAAAGTCGGGGCAAAGTTGGGTCCAAGTCCCCAAATTGGGTCCAAGTTCTTTTTCTGGAAAGTCAGCAAAGCTTGGTCCAAGTCGTTGTCTGGAGAGAGATGCCCAACAAATTGGTGGGTCTAAAGGGAAGCCAAAGGGAAACTCTTTGCGGCATGGGGGGTCCAACCTTTAAAGCCACAGATCCTTTTGACATCCCACTGCTGGGTGTCAAGGTCTGCGCACTCGACCGGGGCTTGGTTCGGAGCTCAAGGAAAGAAAGAAGCCCAGTGGAGGCGTGGAAGACTTGGTGGTGAGGTCGAAGCAATGTGACACCCAGCTGGAGGTGTTCACCAACACCGCCGCCGCCTTGAGACATTTTTTTTGGTGACACAAGCTGAGACATGAGACATGTGGGCCTCAGTTTTCTTTTTCCCTACGAAGCATGCCATAAGAAGGTATTATTTTTCTTGAAGGCCTTTTCCGAAGCATCCCAAAGGTCCGTTGAGCTTCCCGTCTACCGGGCAGTAAAAACCTCGCCGCGGCCCGCTTGTCAGTTGCCGGATCCGGACCCCACGGGCCTGGTGGACCTCGGCGACACGGCGGGGGAGTCGCGACGGAAGATCGGCGAATCGACGGGTTTTGGTTCGGGAGCTCCAGTCGCCGTTTTTGAAGGGAAGCCAACAGGACATAGCCACTGGGCTGGCTTTGGATGGATGGATTTCATAGGGAAAGCCAAAAGGAAGCCGTGGCAAGACATCCTTTGGAGGGCTTTCAGATTTTGACACCCACATGCTGCCAGGACACTGAGGGGTATTTGATCGTCTGGCACTCAGATATTGGGGATGCGCCCTCAAAATGGGGCTGGTTAGGGAAACTAAAGGGATAGCACAAGGGGTCTTGGGGCTCCCCCCTTGTTTGACACGTAGACTGTTTCATGCTTTCTCAGCTGAGGCCCAGTTCAATTACTGGGACAGGAAGTTGGAAGAGTTCCTGAGAGCAGAGGCGCCGAAAGTGCAGCCCATGCAAAGCGTTTTGTCTCCGGCAACCGCTAGGCCTTGTGCAAGAACGCCACGGCCAAGGCCGAGGCGGGGAGAGACTTGAGCCTGTCAAGGCCGATTCCCCCCAAAAATCATGTTGGGGGCCAAAAGCGAGAGCCATAAGGGCTCCCCAATGTCCTCTTGCTAGACAAGAGCGAGAAGTAAGGGCGGTCTTTTGGGCCCATCTTTGGGCGGCGCCTTTTGCCCAAGAAAATGGGGTCGTGACTTTGTGGGGCATCAGTCGGCTTCGCCTTCGAGGCGGAGAAGTTGGACTGCAGCGGGAAGCTGGAAGCCTTCACCAACGCCTCCAAGGAATGCGACCTGCGCCAGGAGAGACTCTGGTCGACCGGAAAAAGAACAGGCGGCTTCTTTTTTCCCCAGGCTGAAAGCTGTGGGGTTCGAGCTTCGTTCTTGAAGAGGGGACTTCTTATGATGGTGTATTTTTTCACCACCTTTTTTAAAGAGGGGACGAGGATGGTGTATGTTTTTCAACACCTCAAGCTTTGCGCAGCTGGACTCCTCCTGCCTCTCGCGTGATTTTTCGGGATGGCCAGGACGGCATGGATGCCCTCGCATGCCAACAAGCAGTGACGAGGCACAGCAGGTGCTCTGACTACGATTGGCGGATCTGGCGTGCTTGAAACTCGTGTGGGGGTTGATCTTAACATTGCTGGCCCCCCAAATGACCATGGGTAACTTTTCCCATTTAGGAAAAAGTCCTTTTTGGGGTTTCCCCAATGGTCATTCTACATATGTTTAAAGGAACCTTTTCATCAATCCCCATGTGAGAATCGTGCTGGCTCGATTCTCGTGAGATGGGTCGTTCGTGTTCCGTGCCAGGTGCTACGGTGCAGCGGTGAATGAATGGACCGCTTTTGCCGAATTCGTCACACTTCCGAGCCGGAAGGGAGCCTTCCTGGTGTTGGCAAGCTAGCAATTATGAACCACTGCCAACTGTTGACTCACGACTTCCATGTCATCCCCGGGGTGTGAGCCATGGTGAGGGCAAAAATGAAAATTCCCAACCCTTGTTGGTTTCTGGTGTCAGGACCGTCACCAAGGCCACGATGTGTGGCCCCTGGGGAAAGGAAGGCGCTGGCGGCTGAGATCGAAATGGGTGTGTCGTTTGGGGGACCCCCCAAAATGGTTTCCTCTTGGTTCCCCTCTACCACTAAAGAAAAAAGGGGGTACCTCAAAAACAGACACACCCATGTTGACTTTGAGCAGATGAAGTGAAGTGCCTGGTGAAGAACCTTTTCATCTCTGTGACCGAGGCCCTTGATGACGAGCTTGCGCTGTTGGATCAGCCGCCAAGCTCAAGATTATGGCATGCGCAGTGCCAAGTCGCGTACACCCAGTGCCAAGCGGGAACCAAACCGGCACGAAACGGCCCACACTGGCACCACGCCGACACCAAATTGGCAGCACACCAAACTGGCATCAGACGGAACGAAGCCACACCAAACGACACCAACCCGTGCCAAACCGGAACTAAGCTAGGGCGCAAACTGGCAACAAACGACACCAACCAACACCAAAGCCGTTCAACCCACACCAAACCGGCACCAAACTAGCACCAAATCGGCGTGAAACTAGATGAACAGACACTAAACCTGCTCCGAAGAGGCACCAAACTGGACACGTTCAACGGCAGCGCAGCGGCACTAAGTGAATCTGACCAGGGCCAGACGTGCCTGCCCACTGCTCAGCTTTCTCCACGCCGGACACGTCGGTTTGGTCCAAGGATCGAATGCGTGCTCTCCGCGCTGACCTCCTCGGACGCGAGCACCAAGGCAGCCGAGTCCGGGAACTCAGCGCTGGGACTTCAGACAGAAGTAATCCAGAGTTGTTGTTTTTCCCATGAGGTGCTTGAACAGCGCGCCCAAGCGCGGCTCGTCCGAACGACCGACTCATATTTCCTTTTTTGTTTTTTTGCCGCGTTTTGGGTGGGTCTGGAAAATCGAGATGCCAGGGGATGGGGAATTCAAGTTCCCGGAGTGCAGCAAGGCGAGGTTCAGCGAGACGGGGGGGGCATGTCGGCCAGGGTTGGGTGGCTCGGTCTGTTTTTTGGTGCTGCCTTTCTTAAAGGGAAGCCCGGATGGAAACCACAAATCTGCACCACCATGGTTTCTTAGGTGGTTAAAGGGAAATCCACTATTTTGGGAACCACAAATCCTAAACAGTGGAGAAAGCAACTTGGGTTGCCAGGTGATGCCGCCTAAGGAGGCCAAGCAGAACTGCGGGAGTCACCTGAGCCCTTTGGAAGATCCTGACATGGCGGGGACCACCTTCTACGAAGCCTGGCTGAAGACGGCGGTTTTGAATCTCAGGGGTGGACAAGTCGCCACGAAAACATCCGCGAACATATGGACCCAAGAAATACCAAGCCAACAGGGGGACATACTGTGAATGGACTTGCGAAATCCAAAAGCCAACGCAAGATCGGTGTTTACGGCACTTAGGTTGGGGAATCGGATCATTGTGCAGGATTTCGTCCATCCACAGTGTTGCTCTTCCTGGAACCCTCGTCGTTCACAGATTCCCTTGTTTCCCTTTACCCATTGCATGTGTCTGGCTTCTCGTATTTTCCGTGTCGCTTCTCGATAACCAATCCGCGAAGTGTCCCAAGCACATACCGTGGATGGACGAAATCCTGCACCACCTAAGAAGCCGTGGAACGAGGATTCCCCAACGTAAATACCAACCAACAATGATTTCATCCTGGTTTCCAAGAGGTGCGAAGTGGATTTCGTCCATCCACAGTGCCACGCGGCGCTACCATGCGAGGTGGACAAGTACTACACCGGCCCTGACTCCAACCCGACGGGCTACCCCTTGCCGGAGCTCAGCAAGGATGATCCGGACCACGCCCCTGCCGTCGACGTGAAGGCTGGGACCCTCGCAAGTGGGTGTGTCGGTATGTCTCTAAATGCAGACACTTTCCCCAAATGGGCGGTTTCCTTTTGGTTTCCCTTGCAAGGGTAGCCTAAAAACAAAGACGAGCCACCCAAGTCACTCACATGGGCACCGTCTTGCATTCTTGCATTGGAGGCGTGCGTGGCTCCATGCTGCACGCATTCAGCCGCGACCTTGGCTGATCCAAAGGTTCGGCAACCATGGGACGACCATTAGGGAAACCACCAACAAGACGACCAAATCACCACGAAATGGGAAAAGAAGGGGGCTGAAGATTGAGGCAACCAGACTGTCCCTTTTGGGGCCGAAACCAGAAATTGGTCGTTTCGGGGCCAAAGGGAAGATTGAGCAACCAGACTGTCCCTTGGAGCTGTAGGAGGCTGTGAACACCACCCGTGGCCTTCCCGAAGTGAAGAACAAGTCCGACATCCTCAGAGCCGCCGGCATTGCGGAGCGCGGGGGGGGGGGGGGGTTGGTTTCCACACGCCCACCCCACACGCAAGCCGCAAGCCGCAAGCCGCACGCCGCAAGCCGCAAGGGCCGGCCGACGTCATGATGATTTACGTTTTTTTTTGTTTTTTTTGCGTGTGCTTAACCCCTTGGCCAGGACGCAGAGTGCGCGTCCCCGAGCCGATCCGCGGACGACGGCTTCATCGTGTTGCTCGGCTTTGCCGAGCGCGAGAGCCAGGGGGTGCTTCTGGTCCCGGAGAAAAAGCATCAGCAGGCTGTCGCAGGTTGAACTACTGGCCGGAGAAAACATCGTCAGGCAAAACTATTATCAACTGGCCGGGGAAAAAACCTCCTTTTGCCGTTTTGCCGATAGCCAATTGGGTATGGGTCAAAATTAAACCACCAGGGGACCGCAGGTTTTAGTCCATGTTTCCATTACCAGGCTTCCATTTTGGGGGTGACCCGATTTTCGACCCATACCCAATTGATGCCGAGGTACGAGGGTTCGCTGTCCATGGACTCTTTCAACGTGAGGGCCTCCTGTGCAGACAACTACAAGGGCCATGCAGTGGCCACGGTCTGCAAGAAGCGGGGAGAGCCCTACACCATTTCGGGGTGCACTACGGAGGTTTGCCGGGCCCCGAGCACCAAGGCGGGCTTCGGGAACACTGGAACGTGTTTTTCCAGAGGGCTCTGCTGCTCTTGTCTTCCGTGTTTCTTGTTTTTTTTCCTTTTGGTTCGCAGGTTGTAGTCGGTTGGCCGGAAACGACCTGGTCATTCACTCGACTTGAGAGATTGCGCTTGTCCAGCTATATCCGGCTAGGAGAAAGATGGAGTCCGATTTCTCAGGTTTTCGGATGGGCTTCTGCATAGACCCTTGGGTTTTCACCTTTGGTCACTCACGCTACACCACACGATTTTCGTGTGTTGGATACGGGGCGAAGCGGCGAAGCGCAGGAGAAGGAGGACTACGAGTTGGTTGAGCAGTCATTGGAGATGCCCTTCTTCAGCATTCACGCGAAGTGCAAGGGCACGGGCACTGCCGAGGTCACGTTTGCTTGGTTGGTATTGGTGGGTTGGTGGGTTGGTGTTGGTGGGTTGGTGGGTTGGTGTTGGTTGGTTGGTTGGTTGGTTGGTTGGTTGGTTGGCTGTTTGGTTGGTCGGTCGGTCGGTTGGTTGGTTGGTTGGTTGGTTGGTTGGTTGGTTGGTTGGTTGTTTTATTATATTGTGTTTAACCAGCCAATTGAGAAAACCCATGAGGGTAGCATCTTACAAGTCGTACCCCTGCGAGGTTCAGCGCTGCAGCAAGCACGATGAGCCCTACGTTCTGTCAGGATGCCTGCCCTTCACCTGCAAGAGCCCCAAGGCTAGCGTTGGAGATGGCTACCAAGTGCTGCTTGGACTTGGACTCAGTGAGTTCTTGGGGTGTCGTTTTTGTTTCTGTGGCCCCACAAAGGGGGTGGCTTTCCTTAGGGCTGCCCTCAAGAAAATGATACACCCTCCTTGGTTCAATGTCTCAAGGCGGTTTCGAACGCGCGCCGCGCTCGCGCCGACTTGCGCGATGATACTGGGGTTCAGCTACGACCATCAAAACAAAGAGGGTTGATACAACCACCAAGTTTACCTGAACAGTCTCACCATACATTTTGCCAACCATTTTTGTTTGATGGGGGCAAGGAACCCAAGGATTTAAACATCCCATTTGGGTTGTCAGTTTTGGGGATCCTCCGAACGCGATATGGCTGTGGGTCAAAACCAATGGAATCCCATTTTTGAAAAGCCCATGGCCAAATCGGTGTGAAGTCTTTCCCATTGAGGCCCGAAACAAATGAGAACATTTATCTCCAGTAGCTTTCACGGGAACTCCGATGTGGGCTTTGGACATTCAGCCCATGGCGACTTCGGAGGTTCGAGGGCTCCAAGCGCATGGACGGCTGGGACGTGAAGGCCTCCTGCGCCACGGGCTACGAGGGCACGGCGGTGGTGAAGATGTGCTCGGAGCCGCTGACGCCCTACTCCCTGTCTGGCTGTGGGCCCTCCAAGTGTGGCATGCCCACCACGGAGCAGATGCGGGACTACGAGGCTCCGTTTTTTTTGTTCTTTTATTTTTTCGGCTTCTTCTCCGTTTTTGTGCTTTCCGTGGCGCGAAACGGTGCGCGAAACTAGGCAATTGCCGTTGGTTCTTCTAAGCGAAACCAAAGCGACCGCCCGCCTCGACATTTCTGGTGGTACCACCTTGCACATTCTGGGTGAGGTGAAGAAGCCTCAAGACTCCTTGAGGCTTCCCTGGATGTCTTGAAAACGCCTCAAATTCCTTGAGGTTTTTCCCTGGGTGGATTTCTATTAAAAAGACGCGGCGCCGCCCAACAACGTGTTTTTCCTTCTTCTTTTTTTCAGGTCACGGTGCTGGATCTGCACCTCCCCACCTTCGCGGTGGCGGTGAAGTGCCGGGGAATCACCACGGGCTCGGAGCCGGAGGCGGTGCCCTGCATGAAGGCGGCCGGAGAATGGGCCCAAGGTGGACATCTGACGGGCTTTCCGTTTTTTTTTTTTTTAAATCCTTTTTTTTCAGACACATATGTTCCTCGAAGGAGCCAAAGGAAAACAAAGGTCCCTTCTTTTGGTCCCCTAGCATGCAAACAAATCGGAGTTTTCCTTTTTTAAGAACGAAACAACAAAGCCCAAGAAGGGTACCCTTTGGTTTCCAGTTAAAACCAAACCCCAAAAAGGGTGCGCTCCAAAAAAGTCATGCCCGGAAGGCAAAACACAGCCTTTGGTGTGTGTCTCAAAGTCGGAATTAAAGCCCCCAAAATGGGCACCGAGACGTCCTTGAAATTTCCCTAGTCAAAAGCAGGGTACCCTTCGCCCAAGAAGACGAGCCAATGTGCTCGTTCGGGGCGGTTTGGGTTCAGGGAGGGTTCCGGAGATTCGGTCGGGCTGGGTCTCGATACCTGGCTGTGGGTCAAAAATAGGGTAACCCAAAATGGGTTCCCTGATACATGGAACCAAGGACTAGTGACTAAAACCTGCGGTCCATTATTGTTTTTCGACCCAGACCCCCCTGACCTATTCACAAATTGGGTCCTGATGCTTTTGTTTTTTCTTCTTTCTGTTGACCTGATCCCCCACCTGACCTGATTTTTCTGACCCAACTGACCCAACCGCAGGCCGGAGATCCCTTCACGCTGAAGAACTGCAAGCCTATGGAGTGCCTCTCGCCCCGGAACAGCGGCGATGGCTACCAAGTGCCCCTCGGCGAGGGCGCGCGCGATGGCTTGTCCCCCCTTTTTTTTCTTTTTCTTTTCTGGGGGGCGGGGTGGGGGGTGGGGGGTGGGTGGAGTTTGTTTGTTTTGGACCTTCCTTTCATGTGTTGGTTGCCCTTTAAAGTGAGCGGGCAATTTCAAGAAAGACTCTCACATCCCTTTGCTTTTGGGCTCACGCGCGCTTCCGCTGCAGGTTCGAGACCTCCAGGCTGATGCACAACTTCCACGTGACCGCGTCCTGCGCGGCCGGCTACGCGGGCACGGCGCAGGTGCGGAAGTGCGTGGACCCGGAGGCGCCCTACGTGATCTCGGGCTGCGGGGCCAAGAAGTGCGTGATGCCCACGGACAAGGCGCTGAAGTACTATGAGGCGGGGGAGTCAAAGGACAGACCCATTTTCTCAGGATTGAAGCAATCCGTCTGACCTAAACGGAGTAAATGGGTTGAAGCCTTGATTCTAACACCCCCCGCACACTAATTCCGGGCTGGCAAGAATTGGCTGTGGGTCAAAATCAATGGTACCATTTTGGGGTTTTCGGTGCACCACCCATTTTGGAACCTATTTTAGTGGGGATTGAATCGGATGTTCAACTGGGGGTACCGGCTTCTCAATTGAGGCCCGTAACCGACGTCAGTCAGGTAGTGATGCACCAACCATGAGGCCCTGGATTCGAAACAGGCCGTAAGGGGAGACCAAGGAAATGGGTGGTTCTTGTACAGCCTTCAACTAAATGGCCGTGGTTGTCAACACCGTTTTGGGATCCCTTTTTGGTTGGTAGGTATTCACCACCCATTTTAGAGCCTATTTTAGTGGGGATTGAATCGGATGTTCACTAGCGCCAAAACTTTTGATTTCCTGTAAGGGACACCAACGCGGGACGGATATGTGTTCATTCTTCCGGACCCCTGTTAATCACCAGGTTTGTTCAATGGGAACACGAACAGGAATTCTTTCGGGTCCCAAGAAAACTTCCTGGCGAGTTCCATGTTAGTTGGTCGAAAGGTTGGGCAAGGTCAAACCCAGCTTGGTTTAAAGGGATTCGGCATGACTTTTACTTCAAGGGGACACTGACACAATTTGGGTACAGGGGTACCCCCAAAAACGGGTTTCCCATTCGACCAAATGGGTATCAAGCCGCATTGCCACTTTAGGAAATTCATGCGGTGGAGTCAAGACTTGCGGGTTCTCAACAAAACTGAGGGAATGGCCTCCATAAACCACCCCTGAAACGGTTTATTCCCAACACCCGGGCTTGGTCATTCCGTACCTATCGCACCACCAGCGAGAATAGGGGAACTCCCTAAAAATGGAAAACTTTTCGGGTTTCCCTTCGGCTACCCGAACCAATGTTGAAAAGGCTAGCCTCCGCCTCTAAAAACACCGTCCAGAAACCACATAAGTCCGTCTCAAAATAGGGGAACCCGTGTTTGGACGGCTTTTTCTTTTTCAGGTCGCCAAAAGGAAACCCCCCAGGGGGTTTCATGACCCGCCGGGAGACCTCCGCCTCTCCGCCCATTTTCAGGTGGCCGCCCAGTCCCTGGAGATCCCGAGCTTCGCGGTGTCCGCCCAGTGCCAAATCGGGGCCTCTGGCACCGCACAGGTCACCCCCTGCGACAAGGAGCTCGGGGGGGTTTTCTCGGCGACCCGAAGCTTCCTCACTCTGCCCAAAAAAAAAAAGGTTGGCATACCTGAACAGTAGGGCCCAGCGAAAAGTGCCCTAGTTTAGTTGGTATCATGAATGGTAACTCATGCTTCCTCTGCCGGTAAACAGGCGTGGTGTACCCAAAAGGCATGCCAATCATCCAGCTACAGGAATGGCTTCGGGAAGTTTGCCAATACCTGCCCAAAGTCAATGGATTTCAGCATTTTTTATTTCCTTCCTCACTGGTTTCTCAAAATGGGTCTGGGGGTACCGCCCCTTTTTCGTGGCTTTGAAGAACAACTAGGGCCTTTGCTCAAGTGAATGAAGACCCTCAGTGATGGCCAACATATTTTCGGAGCCTTTGATTCCCATGAAACCACCAACCAAGCCATATTGGGGGTTTCCCCCAGAAAAGAAGACAAACCCAAGCAGGGAGCCTTTTTTTTTCAAAAAATATCCACTGCGCAGGGTTTCCTCCATGTTTCTTGGTGAAACCTCCAAAAGTGGATTGATCGGTTCAATGGACACGCACCAAAGCCGACCAAAATCGAGGAAAAGCCCAATAAAAACCGACCAACAGCGACCAAAAGGAACCAACACACCGACCAACATTGACCAAGACTGACCAAAACCGGAAAAAAGAAGAAGGAAACAAAAAACCCGACCAACACCGGGGGGGCGGGGGGGGCGGGGGGGGGGGGGGAACAAAAAACAAAAACCGATCAAAACCGGAAAAAACAACAACAGCAACAAACAAACACAAACAGACCAACACTGGAAAAAACAGCAACAAACAAACAAACAAAAACAGACCAAAACCGGAAAAATCAACAACAGCAACAAACAAACACAAACAGACCAACACTGGAAAAAGCAGCAACAAACAAACAAAAACATACCAAAACTGGAAAAAAAAACCAGCAAACAACAAACAAACACAAACAGACCAACACTGGAAAAAACAGCAACAAACAAACAAAAACAGACCAAAACTGGAAAAAAAGGCAGCAAACAACAAACAAACACAAACAGACCAACACTGGAAAAAAACAGCAACAAACAAACAAAAACAGACCAAAACCGGAAAAAACAACAACAGCAACAAACAAACACAAACAGACCAACACTGGAAAAAGACAGCAACAAACAAACACAAACAGACCAACACTGGAAAAACAGCAACAAACAAACAAAAACAGACCAAAACTGGAAAAAAAACAGCAACAAACAAACAAAAACAGACCAAAACTGGAAAAAAACAACAGCAAACAACAAACAAACACAAACAGACCAAAACTGGAAAAAACAGCAACAACAAAAACCAAACCGCCGGGTACCGACCCAAATCCGTCTTCGACATCTCGAGGACGGGGAGGCCTTCAAGGTGGATGGCTGCACCCCGCACGCCTGCCAGTCCCCGCTGGCCGGTGCGGACGGCTACGTCGTGTGCCGCGATGAGAATTGTTTGACTTCTTGGTGCATTTTGCCAAGGGATGGGACTGAACAACTTTTCGCCAACGAATTTGGGTTTTCCATCAATAGAAGTGAGTCACTTTTAGCAGAGCAGAAAGCAACCGAGTCTTGCCAGCCCGGAATTGGTGTGCGGGGGCTGGTAAAATCAAGGCTTCAACACATTTACTCCGTTCCGGTAAAACGGATTGTTTCGTTTCCGACAATTTGGGTCCGTCCTTTGATAGGATTCGGACCCCACAAAAAAAACACAGGATCTTGCAAATTTCTGTTTGAATTCCGCCCAACAAAGGGGTATACTAAAACAGGACACACCCAAAAAGGAGAACACAATTACACCAGCATAGACCCAGATAGCGTGGGAGATTGCGACATCGCCAAACCGACGGCAACCACACCACCTTAAGCACAAGCGGCGCCTTGCCGCTGCGCCTTGAGCCCATGGCAATCACCAGACCACCTTCAAACAGCACCCTGACCAGCGCCCACAAACCCACCCTTTGAGCAATTTTTTTTGGTAGCACAAGACAAGCACCAACAGGAACCACCACAGCCAACCTGGTGCGAACTTGCAAGGCAGCCTGGCCCTCTTTGGAAGCAAGAACCTTTTAGCCTTCAGCTGTCTGGAGAATAAGAACCCCGGAAAGCTAAAGCTATCTGAGGAACAGCACCTAAAGCACACAAACAGCACCAGCGCCGACCAGCACCCTGACTGCAGCGCCAGCTTAAGCAGCGCAGCACCCGGACCAGCACACTCATCCAAGCACAGCCGATCACAAAAGCATGAAGGTTCACAAATTCCGCGTTGGCCTCCACAACGCTTCAAGCAAGCCCGCCATCAATTTGTAAGCCCCTTGCGAGATTCAGAGGCCTCTCTTCCCAAGAGAGAAATATGAGGTGCTCACCTGCATCGCCTGACTAAAGGAGAAGGAACTGGGCAAACCTTTTGGGGTCATCACTGAAATGGGCGAAAAGGGAAACGAATGGAAACCAAGGCCACTCCGTCACTCCACACCGTCTACTTGTACCACACCTCTTCATGGCTGATATAGCTCCCCTCACTCGAAAGAGAATCCAACTCCCTTAAACAAACGATGGGGCCAGTATGTGTTAAACAAGGGATTTGGCACAAAATGAGAGTTTCCCTTTGGTTTATCTTTAAACACACTTCAAAACAAAATGGTACATCCAAACACCACACCAAGTTTATTGTAGGCGGTTGCATACAGGCGCAGTGTGGGGGCAGTTGCAGGATGCAATGGCTTCATGCCCCCGCACGTTTCTTTGCGAGGTTCGAGAAGTCCAGACTGATGGAAGACTTCAACGTGACGGCAGTCTGTGCCAAGGGCTACAACAAGGGAAAGGCCATCGTGACGATGTGCAAAGAGCCCGGGCAGCCGTACCTTTTGACGGGCTGCGGGGCAGGCAGCTGCACAGAGCCCAGTGCCAAAGCCGCCTTTGACTACAGATACACCGCCTACAGCTTGGAGTCTTTGAAATCAAAGGCTTACGATGTTTGCCCTCGCACAAAAATGAGGTGGAAGATGATGGGAGGGTTTTGGCAGACCTCCTTTTCAAAAAGCCGCCTTTTCCAGAAACAGACCGACTCGACTTCCGGGGGTTTTGATGTTGCCTCGCTGCTTAGGAGATGCCCAGCTTCAGCGTGGCGGTGAGCTGCCCCAGCGGCAAGGGGAAGGGCATGGCCAAGGAATGCCCAAGGGAGGACCAGCCGTTCACCCTGGAGGGCTGCGAGCCAATCCCCTGCAAGTCCCCCACCAGCGGGCCTGGCACTGCTGGCTACATGGTGTGCCTTGGAAGAAACGCCTGCGGAGGTTTGGGAGACGGACACCTATTTTTGGGGTCCCCTGAGATGTAGAGGTTGGGAAGTCTGGTTGTGGCTGGTTGCTATGCCTTCTTTGGGAGACAGACACCCATTTTGGGGGTCCCCCAAAATGCAGAGGTTGGGAAGTCTGGTTTGTGGCCGGTTGTGTGGGCTCACTATTTTGGCTATGAACCTCAATGAGGAATACCATCGGACGTGGTTGGTGGACACACATGTCCACCTAAACGATGTCTAGCAGAGGATCCTGCATTCAACAAGTCCCCAAGTAGAATTCACACCCACTCGTTATGATGTGGGTGTGCCATGTTTTAGGGGAGACAAACGTTTGTTTTTTGTGGGTGTTGTTTTTGGGGATGGTTTAAGGAGAAGTCAGCAGGAAGACCGCCGATTTTGGGATTCCCTAAAGAAACGAGACACCCAAATCCACATGGCTCACGAAGTGCTGACGCCATGCCATCTTCACAGCCAGGTTCGAGACCTCGCTGAACCCGTACGAGTTCAACGTCTCCGCCATCTGCGCGGACGGGTACCAGGGCACACCAGCAGTGAAGGTGTGCTCGGAGGGGGGGAAGACCTACAGCCTCACCGGGTGCAAGGCGGGTGGGGCTGTAAGTGGACACTTTTTCTGGGGTGGTGTCTAAAAGGACACGGCTCAAGGAAAACCGCATTTCGGTTTGTGGCTTTGCGGGGGACCCCCCGGGAAAGTCCCAATTTTTGGGCTCCAAATCCCCCCTGATTTTTGGGCGGAGTTTTTTTTCCCCCGATTTTGGCTTCTTGGCTTCTTGGCTTCTTGGCTTCTTGGTTTCTTGGCTTTTTGGCTTCTTGGCTTCTTGGCTTTTCGGCTTCTTGGCTTCTTGGCTTTTTGCTTCTCGGCTTTTTGTTGGTTTATGCGGCTTTTGGCTTTTCGCATCCTCTGCATTCCCAGTTCCTCTCTGGGCTTTTTGGCTTTTGCACCCTTCCCGCATCATCAGCATCACCAGTTCCTCCCTATTTGAATCATCACTTCTTCGAACATCATGGGGGGAAGCCCCCCCCCCCAACCCACCCGCTACTGTTTAGATTGTTTGCAGAGTAATTGCACCCCTATTTGAATCAACACTTCTTCAAACATCATGGGGGGGGCTGCCGCCCCCCCAAACCCCCCCCCCCCCCCCGCTACTTTTTAGATCTCTTGCAGAGATTTCATTGGACCCCTATTTGAATCATCACTTTTTCAAGCGTCCAATTTCGCGAGAAAATGCTGCAACAATACGATATTTTAGGTAATCTGTGTAATCCATGTATGTCTGTATGTATGCACTTTTTCGAACATCATAGGGGAAGCCACCCCCGCCAACCTTCCCGCTGCCTTTTAAATTCTATCGCACCCTTTCTTGAATCATTGCACCCCTACTTGAATCATCACTTCTTCCAACATCATGGGGGGGCTGTCGCCCCCCCCCCAACCCCCCCGCTACGTTTTAGATTTTCTACAGAGATTTGATTGCACCCCTAGTTGAATCATCAATTCTTCAAACATCATGGGGGGGCTGCCGCCCACCCAATCCCCAAATAAATCGCACCCTTTTTGGGCTGCACAGGCGAGGTCCTGTTCGCCGCCCACCATGGACGTGGACCCCTACGTGACCACCGTGCACTCCTTGGAGATCCCCAGCTTCAGCGTAACCACCAAGTGCAAAGGACAGTCGCTTTTTTTTTGGGGGGGTCCCCCGGATCCGACAAGAGATGCACGTTCACGCCTCCCCCCCACTTTTGAGACGGCTGTGCAAGGATGAAGAAGAAGACATAGCCACCAGTAGATTGTCCCAGGTGTTCGACCAAAATGGTGGAACACCTAGCTTGGGATTGTCCGATTGATCAAGCACCACTTTTGAGCTGGTCCCAATAAACAAAAATACACATGCAACACATTCTCTCTAGAGTGCATAACTGAGACGCTTCTTTTGCATGTTCTATTTGTGGCGCATCGCCGTAGCTTCTTTCACCGGTGACCAGGGCAGTGACCCCACCAGTTTCCTGGGACACGTGGCCTTCGGTCGGGCTTCGGCAGGCGTGAAGGACCCCAGCAAGCCGATCATGGCGGTGCCCTGCACCAGGGACTTGCAGCCCTACACGCTGGAGGGGTGCTTGCCTTTGATGTGCTCCTCCCCGACCAAAACGGCGGAGGATGGATATGCGGTGCCGCTTGCCTTTTTTTTCAGTCGATTTGGTTCAACATCTCTCGAAATTGTGGCCTGACCAGACTTTTTCATGAAACTGCTGAACGGCAGATGGTGGTTACATTAGCCAACCGCTGTTGTTGCGGTGGTTTTCACCCCAGGTTGAGTCAGTGTTGGGGGAAAAGGGGGGTGGGCCGTGCGCCTAGGGTGGAGACAAACAAGCTGATCAAGGGCTTCAACGTGAAGGCCACCTGCGCCGACGGCTACATGGGCACTGCGAAGGTCGCCGCGTGCAACGTGAGCCACACGCCCTACCATCTCTCGGGCTGCCGCCCGCAGAAGTGTGTGGAGCCCCCGAAAGAGGAGATGGAGAACTATGAGCTCACAGTGTGGCTCGGACGGAAAACCGTGGCTTGGTCCTCTTGTGTTTCTTTCTTTTTGGAAGTTGGCCTCATCCATTTCGGTTGACCAATCGTCCGAATTGGGTTGGTCTTGCCCAAAATGTGTTGGCTAGCTTGTGGTTTCAATCTGTGCAGAGTCTTGAAGGCGGAGGAAACGTGGAATTGTCTTGCAGCAGACAGCGGGAGTCCTCTTCGTTCCTCCAATCCCAATCCCGCTGAACAAATGAAGGTCAGTCGGGGAAGGGGCCAACAAGTTGTGGCGCTTTGCGTGTGGCAACAGATTGCCACGAGTCGGAGCGCTGGGCAATTTTAGGGAACATGGACTCCTTTGCAGACCCAGAATGACATGGTCGATTTTCTTTTGATGTGCGGTCATTTTCATGAAAGCACCAGTTCGTTTACCTGAAGCTACCTGGATGGTTCAATTCACAGGTTGGGAAGGCTAGACATTGCCGTGTTCCCAATGGTCAAAGCGCTGGTTCCCGTTTATTGGGGATGGTCAGGTTTGCCAGGTTTTACTACCTGGTGTAATGGGGGCTCTTAAGAGATCTTTGTACCGGGTGACCAAAATTGGCGAATCGGATGCTATAAAGTTACATCTCAAAGTATGGACCCGCAACTTGACGGTTCTCCTTTGGTCTTCCCAGAAAACAAAACAAAGAACGGGAAGCCTATGTTAGGTGTTTCCTTTTTGGAAGCCAACCGGAAACATGGAACCAACCCACATTCAGCTCCAATGGGGCCTTTTCCACCCCTTTCTTGCCCCCCCCCCGGCCCCCTCAAAAAAAAAGCAAGCCCCTCAAGCGAATGGCAACACGAGCGCAGGCAGATCCATCCGAGGCACTCGATGGAGAAGCCCAGCTTCAGCATCACCGCCCAGTGCAGAAGCGGCGGCGCCGGCGAGGCGGTGCCCTGCCAGGGCGACGGCCGAGCCTTCCACCTGAAGGGCTGCCTGCCGGCCGCCTGCACGTCCCCCAGGAGGGACCCGTGGGGGAGTGAAGACGTGATGCGCGTGCACGTTTTTTGTTGGGTGCTGCGGTGTTTTGGCTCTTTGAGTGAAGAGGTGGCCGTGACAAGGATGGGAGACTTTGAAATATGGGGACGTCTTTTTGGTACCTTATTCGGGCCCCGTTCGAACCTAATCAAGTTGTGTCTTGCTACGATTCGAAAGGGGTTCCCACAATTGGTTGACATATTCCTGCACTGAACAACTTGAATCTGACTGGGCGCTTGCCTTTGCTGCTTGGGGACGTTGCCGCATTACATAGCTCTGTGCCCAGGAAGACCCTGGATGACGGCTACATGGTGTGCCTCGGTTTACTGAAGCCTTTCTTGGGAATTTGGGCTCGAATCGCAAAGAAACCGCCCCGCAGACATGGGTCTCCAAAAAGAAATCGCATTTGGAGCCCCCCATACCAGAGGGTGGCTTCCCAACCCAAAACCCTCGAAAATCGATCCGTTTCCTTCCCCACCCAACCCCCCTAAAAAACGGGCTCCACTCCACTCGCCTCGACTCGACTGGACCTGCGAGTGAGTGGCTTCCCAACCCAAACCCGAAAAAACGGATCCACTTGAGCCACAATCAAAACCCGGGTAGATGAAGGTTAGTAAGGGGCAGTCCCAGCCAGAAATAGTTGCGGCCGCCTTCTTAATTCTTGAAGCATGGTTCTGGGTAGACCATATGATTGTGACTCACTTGACTCGACGGACCGAGGTATGAAGACAACTTGGGCTTCAAGGACTTCAGCGTCACCGCCAGCTGCGCCGCGGGGTACCAGGGCACCGCCCTGGTGGAGAAGTGCCGCAAGGGCGGGGAGCCCTACCAGCTCAGCGGCTGCGGCGGCGCCCAGTGCACAGTTCCGGCCAAGATCCCCTTCCAGCGCCTCGGGGATTTTATTTCAGCGATGTGGGTGGGTGGGAGGGTGCGATTCTGGTTGGAGGGTGCGTTGATTGTTTGGTGAGGTTGGGCTACAGGCGAACCAAAAGGACATGCTTTTTGGGGTCGCCCGATCTTGGCACATTCCAATATGTTTCCTCCAGTCGACTTTTCTTCTCCACCTTCGGAGTTTGTTTTGGGGATCGCCGCATTTGTCTGAAAGTCGATGCAATTTGTTGCACGGAACGGGGCAAGGTACAACATCACCACCTACTCCCTGGAGCTGCCCAGCTTTAGCGTGTCTGTGAGGTGCCGCGGACACAGTGACGGCAGCCCCCAGGCGGTGCCCTGCAAGAAGGATGCGTTGCCTGGGTTAGCCAAGCTTTTGTCTTTTTCTGTTTTTTGCTTTTTGACCCTTCAGTCGCTGGGTTTCCTTCATTTCCCAATTTATGCATCTTGAATCATTTCCGCGGCCAGAATCTGGGCTTCCATCATTTTCCCTTACCAACAAGTGGACTTTAGCCAAGGATGGTGAGCCCTTCTCCCTGGAGGGTTGCTTGCCCATCACCTGCTTGTCTCCACGCAAAGATGCAGAGGCTGGCTACACAGTGCTCCCTGGCTGAACTCCACAAGGCGAAATTTTGCGTGCCGATTCTGCCTGGGGCAAATCATATTTCATCACAGGATTGCGGGAGGTGCCAATCAGGGTTCCGTTTTTGTGGCTAGATCGAATCGGTTTCCTTTTCAAGGGCCCTAGGTTGAAGTCTACCTCGAAAATATCCAAACATGGAAGCCTGCTGCCGAATTGCTTTGCGCGACGAGGTTCGAGGGCTCCAAAACCACCGACCACTTCGATGTGAACGCGTCCTGCGCAGACGGGTACCAGGGCGTGGCCTCGGTGAAGATGTGCACCGAGGTGAGGATTCGCGCAAAACGGAGCCCAAAACCGAACCCATGTCAGGTGCTTCGGCTCCTTCCCGGTTGTGACGTCTTTGTAAACCTTTCCAACCGAACCATGTTGGACCTTCAAACAAGCACGGGCCGCTTAACAACGGGCCGGCTGTTTTTTTTTTTTTCCTTTTTGGCGGCGGGTTTCAGGTGGACACGGCCTACGAGCTGTCGGGCTGCTCGGCCCAGAGGTGTGTGAGCCCCCGGGACGTGGAGACCTACAGCTACGAGCTGACGGAGCACTCGCTGGAGCTGCCCAGCTTCAGCGTCACGGCGCGCTGCAAGACCACGGCCACGGGCGCCGTGAAGGCCATCCCCTGCACCCAGGACGGGGACTCCGTCCACCGGGACGCGGGGAAGCGAGGGAACCCACTGGTTGGGCGATTTTTCCCGTTTGGGCGTTGGTTTCAGGCGAAGCCAAAAGGAAGACACCCATGTTTTGGAAGCTCCCCTAGTTTGAGAAGAAGAACAACTGTTTTGGTTCGGACTGAATAGGGACTGACGGGAGGGCGTGTTCAAGAGTGCAGGACGGGGAATCTTATACGCTGGAGGGGTGCCTGCCTGGCAAGTGTTCCTCCCCGATGGCCGGTGCAGATGATGGCTATGTGGTGCCGCTTGGACTGACTCCAGGCTTTTGTTTGTCTCCAACACGGGTGTATGTCAAGATAGGGGACCTGGACCCCCAACGTAGTTGTTTCTTCTTTTTTGCCAAGACGAAAAGGGGCACCCTTAGCCTTGAAGTCTAAACCCCCCCCCCCCCCCAAACATGGATTTCGTGCTCTTCTTTTGGTTTCCCTTTCCAAGCCCCCAGAAAGACGACGACAGCTCCCAAAACGCAGAGACCAAGTCCCAGCTACACCGCCAGGTACGAGGCCAACAAGCAGTTCGACCGCTTCGACGTGAAGGCGAGCTGCGCCTCCGGTTACGAGGGCACGGCGGTGGTGCAGATGTGCTCGGAGCCGGAGACGCCCTACACCCTGAGCGGCTGCAGCACCGCGACCTGCACCGAGCCCTTGGACGCCTACAAGGACGGGCAACCGGACAAAACCGGATGGTCTTAGGCCTTAGAAGATTTGAAGGGTTTGCTTTGTTTGTCTTGTTTTGATGTTCTGCGTCCTTTCCAAGATGCGTTCGCGCAAGAATCCCCCATGCAAAGCTTGCCTTCTGCGAGTGTTTGCGGACTTGACCTAAGCCTCGAGTGAGCATTTCTCGAGGCCTACGAGCTCACGAAGCACTCCTTGCAGCGGCCCAGCTTCAGCGTCTCCGTGAAGTGCCGCTACAGCAGCGGCGCGGGGCTTGCCACGGTCTGCGCCAATGCGGGGGAGCCCTTCCAGCTTTCTGGGTGCCCCCTGGGCGAGTGCACCTCTCCAGTGAAGGCCCTGGATGCCGGCTATGTGGTGCGGCTTGCATGGAACCACTCGGTTTTTGGTCGTTCATTGAGAAAATCCTGAAAAGTGGGTTGGTGTTCAACCACTCTGCTCTTTTGGTTCTTTTCAGATTGAGAACCTCCTGAAAAGTGGGTTTGTGTTCCGAGTTAAGCATACACGCCCATGTCTTTTGAGGTGCGTTCCCCAGCTTCTCGCCGTCTGCTTCGAATTTTTCCCGGTCGCATCTCAAGATCTGCATGCCCAGCGCAGCGTTTCTGCCCGAGGTACGAGGCCTCGAAGAATCGCGAGACCTTCAACGTCACGGCCAGCTGTGCCTCGGGCTACAAGGGCGTGCCCTCAGTCACCGAGTGCACGGCGCATCAGTCGCCCTACAGCCTGGAGGGCTGTGCCCCGGAGAAGTGTGCCGAGCCAACGGATGCCGAGAAGGACGGTCCGCAAGCGCGCGAGCGCGTGGGGAAAGGGAAAAGGCTGGCACGGTGGATGGCTGACCTCTCATGCACTGTTCTTTTCTTTGTCATATGCATATTTGACACATATATCCATTGTTTTGGTTCATCACTACTGTGGATGGTTGCGAAATCCACGAGTCTCCCAACTGAAATCTTTGGGGTCTCAGCCCAGCTAGGCTCCAGGGTGGTCCGGGGCGGCCCTGAGGTAAGGTTCCACGAGGGTTCCACCAGGGTTCCACGAGGGTTCCACGAGGTTCTGCGAGGGCTGCGGGGTGGTGCGAGCACTAAACAGAGCACCGCATGCTGTTGGGGATATTACCCGAGCTTATTCGTTTCTCTGGCGTGAGGACCCCTACGACCTCAACATCTTCTCCACGGAGCGGCCCAGCTTCAGCATCACCGCGGCCTGCAAGTACGGATCCGGCAGCGGCAAAGCCAAGGCCTGCACCAAGGAGACGAGAGGGGCTGGGGTTGGTGGGGTGGGGTGGGGTGGGGTTAGGGTGGGGTGGGGTGGGTTGGGGTGGGGTGGGGTGGGGTGCCTGCTGTGTTCAGCTCCGGTTGATGTTGCAAGAGAGTGCTCTCCCGTGTAAATTCATTGACTTGCAGCATTTTGCTGGATGAGATCTGTATTTTGTCTTTGCGAATCAGGGCGTGCGCGACGTGGCTCCGAGAGGAGTTGTGGTCAGCGACCCCAGGAATCACTTTTTAAGTTTCAGGGATCTACCGCAAAGAAACACACACACAAACAAAAAGAGATTTCCCGCGGTAGGGTAAGGACCTTGGACAAACAACAAACGGAAAACCATGGTGAACAGCTTCCAATGTGGAAAGAGCGAGAGAGAGAGAGAGAGAGAGACAGAGAGAAGCCATTCACCCGCACTCCAGATTCCAGGATGGGGAGGCTTACACGCTGGAGGGCTGCCATGCTGGTGCCTGCGAATCTCCCCGCACTGACGCACAGGATGGCTATGTTGTGCTCCCTGGCGGCCGTGGCTTCCTTTTTCCTTTGCGGTAGGCGAAGTCGTTCGAACCTTCTTGTGCCAAGGACTGTAATCTAGAAAGCGGTTTGGATGTTGTTTTTGTGGACCCCTGTAAGAGTTTAAACGAAGCCCAAAAGAGTAGTAGAAAAGCACCTACAAGGGGGACGGACGGCTGAAATCAACAAACAGCGCATCCAGGCAAAAGCCTTGCCTTGTTCGTTCAAGGCTTCGGTTTGTATGGTAAACGGCGCGATTCGCTTGGATAAAGTCAAAAGCGAAAGAGATTGGTCTATGACCCATCCACAACTGGCGCGTCGAATTTTTCAGGGTGCCGATTGAGTGCTTCTCGCAATAGCAGAATTTCACCCTTTTGGTTGGTCGTCGACGGGAGACCAAAGGGAAATCGAAAGGAAACAGTTGTCATTTTAGCAGAACATTGGAGCCACAAGCAAAAGCCGCGTGAGTAAAGAATCAGTAAGGGACAGTCCCAACCATGAATAGGCGCGGGAATCCGCCCGCTTCATTCTTTGCCTGAGTTTGGGGTGGACCATTTGGATGTGAGATTTTGAGGGTACCCTTTTTTGGGGTTGGTGTAAAGGGAGGCCAAAAGGGCAACCGAGCCATTGCCGGGGTCCCCCTATTGTGGCACCCGCTCATTTTGGCAATGACATTTAATTGGGGGACGCACCTGAAAAGTGGTGCGTGGACACACCGAATTCTGGTATCCACTCTTTCGGGTTCGGGACCCATTCAAAAACATCACCCATTTTCACTTCCGGGCTTCTCATTGCGGCAAGGTACGAGGCGTCCAAGTTTTTGGACTCCTTCAACGTCACCGCGAGCTGCGCCAACATGTACCGGGGCACCGCCGCGGTGACCAAGTGCTCCCAGAATGGGGAGGCGGGGCGTGTTTTTGCGAGTTGCTAGCCCTTCTTGGGTCGGTTTGGAGGGGACCCGCTTGGGACCGGACCCGCTTGGGCAACGTCTAAGTTTTGTAATGTCAACCCCGGAAAAAAAAAAAAACCAAAAAAACACCTAATGAACTCAGCATCCCCCAACGAAGCAACCGGAAGGGTCATAAATTTCGGGGAACCAAAGGTTAAAAGTCTCTGAGCACGGGGTTAGTCCACGATTGTGGGAACCAATAGTAACTAGGAACTAAACGGACACTTTTGACATTTCGGGGAACCAAAAAGGAACCAGGAACCAAAAAGGACACTCTTTACTTTGACATTTTGGGGGAGCACACCAGGCATTTTGGGGGGGCCAAAAGGAACCAGGAACCAAAAGGTACAAGGACACCAGGCATGGGTATGGGTCAAAATTAAACTATCAGGGGACCGCAGGTTTTAGTCTTTGTTTCCATTTACCAGGATTCCATTTTGGGTACCTTTTTTTTTGACCCACACCCGCAGTTCGGGGAACCAACAAGAGCCAGTTTGCTTTCAAGGCCCCCATCTCACGAGTCCGCAGGCCTACGGCCTGGACGGCTGCGATGCAGAGACCTGCATGGAGCCGGATGTCGAGGCGAGCGGATGGTGTCCTGAGGTCCTAAAAGGGAACCAAGAGGAAAGCCGAAGCGATTTATAAATAACTAAATAGATACATTCATACATACATAAACACATAAATACATAAATGCATAAATACATAGATACATGAATGAATATATATATACACATAAATACAAAAGTAAGTATATATGAATACATAAATAAGTATATAAGTACATATATATATATATATATATTATTTAAACAAGTACATAAATGAATAAGTAAATACATATTAAAGAAGTAATCAAGCAAATCAATAAATAAATAAATAAATAAACAAATAGATAAATCAGTAAATCAACAAATAAATGAATGAACAAATCAATGAATGACACAATATATGAATAAATGCATAAATAGATAAATAAAATAACAAGTAAATAAGTAGACAATCAAACAGATAACTATACAAATATAAATACACACATATATATATATATACACACATATTTGGGGGGGGGGTCCCCCCAAACAACACCCATGTATGGATGGATGATTGTATGGATTGAAAAAAAACAACATAATTTTGAGCAACTGGGACATCCATGATTCTAAAGTGGTGACAGAGAGAGAGAGAGAGAGAGAGAGAGACAGAGACAAAAAAGAACAGAGAGCGAGGGAGTTGGGCACGGAAAATCGTCAGGACACTCTCAATTTATCTTTTTTTCTCTCTACGTGTAATATAGATCTAGTTTCATTTGCGTTTTTCCACAGCCTGCTTGATGATCCAGACATCAACAGTAGAGGGATAGCGGGCGCGGGCATCCGTAGTGCTTTTTTGCGTCAGGCCAACTACGAGGTCACGACATATTCGCTGGAGCGGCCCAGCTTCAGCGTGTCGGTGAAGTGCAAGAACGGGGCTGGCACCCCGAAGGCGGTACGGTGCTCTATGGACGGCATGGCCTACACGCTGGAGGGCTGTTAAGTGCCCTGACAAACCTGGTGCGTTCTTGGAATGGAATGAGAAATGGAATGACTGATAGAAAAGCCATCCAACGGGTGGTTTCCTTTAAGGTAATCCCTGGTTTCATTTCCCCATCCCCTAATGAGCACCAGCAAGCAAAAAAGAGAGACGTCTCTTTGCGTCCTTCTTTTTTCACGCCAAGAACGGTCGACCCTGAAAAGGGGGTCAGTGGTAGCTTCCGTGCCTGTCAGTTGGCACTGGTGAGAGAGAGAGAGAGAGAGAGGGAGAGCGAGCAGAGAGGGCAGGGAACAGGGATGGAAATATGTCACGCGCTTTCCTTGAGAGCAGTAGGGTAGGCCACAAGATGGGGAGAGAGAACCTTCGGACTCTTGTGTTTGGCGCAGCAAGGTTTTTGCACTCTGCCTTTGGCTTCCGCCAAGGTTAGTCAAGACTTTGAGGCTTTGCGGCTTTGCTTCAGGCGCAATGCGACCAGTCCTGCTTGATGGGATTGGCTTTCTGCAACAGACCCCGGTGGTTGTCTCTCTGTTTGGGTTTACGGAGTTTGGGGAAGGGGCACCTCAGGCAATCTGCTGCCTTGCCCCGGAGGCATCGGAAGGGTCTGAAGCAGCTTCTGGGTCTGAGAACTTTGTGGCCGGAAGTCGAAAAAGCCACGTCGAATTGCATCAAATATGCGCCAACTGCCAGGTGGTTTTGATTTGGGTGTGGCTCAAAGCAGGCCCCCCCCCCCCCACCAAAATTGCGGCGTTTCATGCTGGATTTTCCTTCAAATGAATCCCAACAAGTACTCACAAGAAAACGAGACACCCAGCGCCTGCCAGGAGCTCGGACGAAGTCCCTTGACTTGCCGGCTCCACCGCTTGAGCGAGGCTTTGTAAGATAACGCAAACCGACCCGCGCGCTTCCGCTCGCCTCGGGAGCGAAATTTGCGAGCTTCAGCGTGCAGCATTGCAGAGCTTGGGCAGGGACGTCTTTTTGGCCTCCCTTTCAAACCACAAGAAAGGAGTGCCCTCAAAAAGACGCTCGTTTGGACCGCTGCGAGGGAGGCTCAAAGAATAAGCCAATGTACAAACCCTCCAAACTGAGGCTGCCAGCAGTCACTTTTTCGACTTCCGGGTTGTCGAAGCCTGGGGGTTGTTCCCTTTCACCTGTTTCGGGGGTTTGGCGAAATCATGGGGGCCCGGGATCTATCCGAATCGCGCAGGCAACCACACACAAACCCGAAGGGAGCTTTCGGAAAAGAACAGTGGTTGCACAGATCTCCCTCTCACATCCTTTAACATACATCAGGATACCCCCCTTGGTTGCCCAACAACCCGAGCCGCTTGCGTTGGGAGTCTCAACTTTTTGGCCAAGGCCCTGAGGGTTGCAAGAGGTTCCCATGGCGTAGCGTAACAACTCGGGCAATGCCATGAAGCTCTTCGTGACTTTTGCGGCGGAGGAGGAGGCCGAGAGAGTCCGCTGAGACGAGGAAACCCCAACTACATGTGGAAGGCTTTGGCGGAATGGAAGCATCATCTCACTTGGTCGCCGACGTGATTTCTGAAAAAAGTTGCGAGGTGTCTTTCTTGACACCACGCCTTTTGGACGGGTGGTGCGTTTTGTTTTGTTTTCTTTTGTTTTGCAATTTACGAGTTTCCTGGTTTGAAGGGCGCGCGCTTCTTCGCGTCGCGCGCCGCCGGCGAACGCCGCGGAAAAAATCACAACGCGTGAGGTGCGCTTCGTGGTGCTGGTGGAGCCCTCGAGCAGCGTGGTGCGGCCCCCGGAACAGCTGGGCAAATGGCTCGGTCCATCCCGTTGAAAGCGAGGATTTGTTGCGCAAAAGCAAAAGGGATTTGGGGGGGGGCGGCCCTGGCGACTTGACTGGTTCAGTCTCTTTTTCCCCAACAGCTGAAAGCTTTGGGGTCTCAGCCCAGATAGGCTCTGGGGTGGTCCGGGGCGGCCCTGAGGTAAGGTTCCACGAGGGTTCCACCAGGATTCCACCAAGATTCCACCAAGGTTCCACCAGATTTCCACCAGGGTTCCACCAGGGTTCCACGAGGTTCTGCGAGGGCTGCGGGGTGGTGTGAGCACTAAAATCAGCACCGCATGCTGTTGGGATATCACCTGAGCTTATTTTTTTGGGGGGGGAGAAGACTCCTGGCTGTGGTTGTCAAAACCGTTTTGGAATCCCATGAATTCACCACCCATTTTAGGACCTATTTTAGTGGGGATTGAATCGGATGTTCACTGGGGGTACGGGATTTTGACCCATGGCCACCTGAAAAGCAAAGGGATTTGGGGTAGGGGGCGGCCCTGGCAATCTAAGCAATTTGATTTTGATGGCCTGAAAAGCAAAAGGGATTTGGGGTAGGGGGACCCTTGCAATTTAAGCAGTTTGGTTTCATCTTCTTGTTTCGTGTGGGAAGACTGGGGGGATGGAATTGAGGACCCTCCCGGCCTGAAGGACCATTGATGCAGTTGGAATGCAGCGATTAAGTGCTATCCATGGCAAGAATGCCTGGTAAGCTGTTCCTACCACCCGGCCCGATCTATCCCAGTTTTGGGCCGTGTCGGGATGTGCGTGAAAGCCAAGGCTTCGCTGCGGCAAAAGATTCTGGCGGACTTCCGGTCGGTGTTCCCCAGCAGGCGACAGCAGACACCCGATATCCGCAAGGCATTACAGCAAAAACATTGCTACTTCCCTTTTATAGTGTGTGTGTTCTTCCACTCCTGTCTTCTCACCTGAGTGTGGTGTCCATTTAGGTTTCATGTTTGTCCCGGGCCAGCCGAAAAGAGGCCCCTTGTCTTGACTCGAGATCCCACGACTTCGCTCAAGAATGCCGGGCGAGGCTACCGCTGTGCTTCTTCCGGATTGCCAGCGTGCCTCGGCGTTGCACAGTGGGCTGTCTCAAAATAGGATATTACCCTCCCCTCCAATCTGCGGTTTTCCTTTTGGTTTCTCATTCAAACAGCCCAAAACAGCCAACAAAGAGACTCGCCAGTGTCAGCGAGGAAGATGGCTTCTTCCTGACCGATGCGGCGGACTTGGGATGGGTTTGGCGCAAAAAGGACGGATCCCACAAGGCGTCTTTCAGATCTTGCGGCCGATTGGTCGGGTTTTGAGCCACAGCACATTTAGCTGTGGCTCAAAAATATGAACCTAAACTGGCCCCTAGGTGAAATGGAAGCCAAAGACCAAAGCCTGCGTAACCCTATCTCTTAAATTTTGAGCCACAGCAAACTCGTGAGGAACTGGGTGCCAAGCAGCTGCACATCTGCGAACCTCGCTCCGAGGCGGCTGCTGTTGGCCAAGTACTTGCCGACGGCGGAACGGCCGGGCGGCTCGAAGCTTTTTCTCTGCGCTTCGTTGGAGCTTTGACAAAAAAAAAGCACGGTGCCTGCGGTAGAACCTTTGGTAGAGCTACCTGAATGTGTGTCGTTTTTGTTTTGTGTGTTGTGCATGTTGCCGGTTTGATTTGGGTTTGGTGTTTGTTGATACCCGTTTCATGCTTCCGGTTGGGAAACCAAACGGAGCACCATTTTCCTGGGACCACGCCCCTGCTTTGAGACACCCTCTTGGTGGCCACATACATCGGAGAGTGCAGGTGACCTGCCACCGCGCCGATGCGGAGGCACGCGGATTGGGATCCCGGGGAACGAGATTTCCGCTTGGGCGTTAAGCATCTGGAAGGCCCTTCCGAGTATTTTGCCTCAGATTGATGTTTATGACACCATGACCAAGCCCGGCTAAGAGAGTTTCCCTCGGGGTGGGAGAACATGGGACCCGGGATTCGCCCGCCACGGCGTATTGTTTATTATCATCGTCATTATCTTTTCCTGTTCTTTCTTTGTTTTGGGGGGGCGGATGTCGGCCTCGTCCATAACGGTTGACCAGCATGCGTTTTTTTTCTTCTTCCCCCCGAATTTGTGTCTTGTTGAAAGGTCTTTCAATGTCGCCTTTTCTTGTTGAAAGGTCTTTGACTTGTTGACGGAAGCGTTGTCGCCTTTGCCGGTTTTGCATGTTCATCGGATAAGAGTGACGTGGATCCAGTCTTCGGAGCCCTTCAAAGAGCTGACTTCTCGCCCAGCGCTGGTGCTTTGCATGGATCACGGCCAGGAGCTGGTACCAACTATATATATATATATATACATGTATACATATATATATATATGTATATATCTTGTACCATATATCTATCTATATATATATATATATATATTTAAAGGGACCGAAAGGACAATCGAGTGACATATTTTTTGGGGGTTCCCTTGAGAAAAAAGGCAAAGGCTTAAAGACCCAAAGGGCTTCTTTTGGATGAAATGGCCCAAGCGACGCGTCGACCCACAAGGGTTCCCCCGCGCCTCAGGTGGCGGGCGCCCCGCTGCCTGAGCAGCCTAGCCGGAAGCTCGCAGGATGGAAACTTATGACTCGGTTGAAACCTGTTGGTTTCCCCCATTTTTTTTGAAAAGTCTTCTTCTTTATCGTTTTGTGTCTTTATCATTGCGTCTTTACATTGTAATCAAGACATATCAATGATGGAAATGGTGAAGAAGGGATATGTTGGGGAGATATCAGATGAGGACAGGTTATGTCTAGATCTTATTTCTGTCTCTTTGCTTCTTCGTGTCCACCTACAGCTCACGGAGAAGCTTCTCATAAAACCAAGCAAGATCATATGGTGGAGAAGAAGGGAATGGAGGAAGAGATGAGAGAGAATGCTGGCCCTTCTACTGCCAGGAAGTCTCTCCGTTTCTTTTCCTTCCTCATCCGTCTTCCCTGCCACCCTGCTACCTCCAACATTCCGGAGGAGGTAGAATGAAAGGGTGGGCATTCCTTTCCCTATCTCCCTTCACGCCTGGGTATGCCGCGGGTTCCATCGCTTCACTCGTTGCTCCCTAGCGCATACCTCAAGGGGGTGGACTTTGAATGCACTACAAACTCTTGCCTGCATAGTAAGAACTCGCGCCCCATTTGCAGGCAACAAAGCATTGCTTGTGAAAAACAAAAACAAAAAACAGCCAAACGTATTGCTCAGAGCTTGGGCCTTTTGTGGGCAGCATGAGGTGGAGCTTCTGGAAGGTGGCCCCAACTTGGCGACGCAATTTTTGTTTCGGATTGCTTTGCTCGTGGTTTCGGATGGTCGTGGAACTCGTGGATTATCCTGAGAATGACTGCGTGCTTTCAGAATAGACAACGCTGTTTGTGAACACATGCTGACACACATCTTTGGTGCCAGGTGATGTTTGAACATCAGACAACAGTTGGTTGTTGCCATATTAGGAGGTTCATTTCTTCTTTTGTCGATATCTATTATTTCATGGACAAAGTTACAGCCGCAGTATTGAGTATTGAGTCTGAGGATATCCTTGTTCACCCTTCCCAGGCAGTAGATGCCCAGTAGCAGATGCCATGTGCCTTTTGCCTTCGATTTGGACAGCAGCCAAGGTTTTTAGGTTTGCGTGGCGGCAGAAGCACCCTGTTCCAGTCGCAGATCAGCCCCAATTGTTGTCCAGTGGATGCCAGGATGCTTTGTTCAGGTGCAAAAGTGAGACACGTTTCTTTCCAACCCCTTTCCTCCAAGAGTGACCCAGGGCCTAGCTTTTCTTTGCGTTTGACAGCTTGTCCTTCCCAGATCCCCACAAACTGAACTCAATGCATACAGACATGGGCCGGATTCCCACCTTGCCTGTGCTCTTCAGGTGCTGAAGAGATGAGCGGCATTTTTGCAACCTTCCGAGCGCAGGCAAGCACGGAACTCTGCCAAAGCTTCACGTGGTTTGCCTTTTCCACTGCTTGTGGGACAGCTAAGCAGTCTTTCCGGGTGGTTTAGAAACAAGTTTCCAGGGAGGCGGTTCCTTGCAGTGGACATGGCGGCAGCCCCTGGCAGCGCCTGGGCGCCACAGAGGTGTCGTACGTGGCGAGCGCCGTGTGCCACGCCGCCGCGAAAGCCGGAAGCGAGGTGGGGAGCCGGGAGAGCATAGGCGTCCTGTATAGGTGAGTTTGGTTAAAAATAGATGGCACTGGTTTAGAGGGGTTTGGTTCCATTTGCCAGGGCCATCGATTTTTCCAAAAGGCCACTTATGCTTGAGAGCGACAGAGATGTCCGCTGAAAGCGACAGGCCGCAGGGGATGCAATGTCCATTCTGTTGGCGCGGCGCTCAGCTTGTTGGTTTTTTGAAGGCAACTCTACAGGGGTGAAAATCTCGCGGTCAGTCGGCATCTCTCTTGCGTGTCGGTGTCCTGATGCCCTGAATTCAATTCAGGGAGCAATCTAGCGGCTTTTTGGCCCAAAACCGAATTTCCAACAAAATCCACCACTGCAGTTCGTTTGTAAAGTGCATGTAGCCACGAGCAGGGGGCAAAAAAAGCCCAGCGCCCCTTCCTCTGGTGACCGGGCTGGGGCTGACGAGCCCGGGGCTCCGCTCGCCTCCGCTCGCCTCGCCGAGGCCATGCTGATGCTCCGGGGCCCGCAGCTCAGCCAGGCGCGGCTGGCGGCCTTCGAGGCCTTGCAGCCGGGGGCCCCTGGGGCGGTCCTGGCGAAGGGGGCGGCGGTTTTGCTGGCGGCGGTTTTTCCGGCTTTTTCTTCGCATTTGTTTGGTTGGGTGGGTGGGTCTGTTTTCTTTTCTTTTTTTTTTTGGGGGGGGGGCATTTGTTTTTTGGTTGGGGGGGTGGCTTCAAAAGCTGGCATGGCTGTCTTGGACCCGCGGTTGCCTGAGCGCTTTGCAAGGATCGGCGCTCTTCACGGTGCCACCTCGCGGGTTTTCATTCGCTTCTTGAGCAAAGTCGTTCGGCAAAGCACGCACTGCGCCACTGTTTGAGACATGCTCACAAGTCGATGGGTAAGCGTATCTCAACGCGGAAGGCTGGCCGAAAAGGATACCCGAGCCAAGCTGCAAGCATGGACCAACCAAGCCCAGCTTATGCAAGAAGCGCTTTTTTGCCATTGTTGCTTCTGCAGACCAACATAGATGCATGCCATGCTTACAGAAGAACGGGTACACAAACATATTGGGCAAATGCGAGGAACTCACGCGCTTCTTTTTGGGCTGCACACCTTTGAGTAGAGCAAAACTCGCATAGTTCATGTGCTCCCTGAAAGCCGTGTCTGAGCTTGACCGCACCTGCCGCTAAGTATTGGACATCCTGTCACTTCATCCGATCCTGTTGACGAGGGAAGAGTGGACTTGGAGCTTTTGCAAGCATCCAGGACATAGCTCTCTCCGTCTCTGCACATTTTTTTGCCCAGGAAGAGCTTGCCCTCGCAGGCAGGGCTTCGGTTCTTGGGTGTGTCTAAATAGGGTACCCCCAAAACCCCCAAACGGGTGGTTCCTTTGGGTTTCCCTTTGCACCACCCACAAACGGACGTAATGTTGACCCCATATTAATCAACCCCAGTTTATTAATAGGCGTTGGTACCCTCCAAAAGTGGTTTGATTCCCCACCAAACCCAGGGATACCCCCCTAGTAATCAACTGGGGTTGATGGATATGGGGTCAACGTCACCCCAAGACAACGGCCAAGCCCTGGCCGTGCCGCCTTTGGCTTTTGCCAGGACGGCGCTTCGCTGCCTGCCTTCTTGGGTGCTGGAGGAATCTTCGTGCTGCGCCGACCTCTGCCAGTCACGAGTTACTTTCGCCCTTTACTTGTGGTTTCAAACATGACCTTCTGGGCTTTTGTAGGGGTAGGGATTCTGTTTTCGCCTTTTGGGCGACGTCTTTACAGGGTGGGGTTGCCCTCAACGGGTGGTTTCAAACATCACCTTCTGGGCTTTTGGGGTGATGTGTACTGCAGGGACTTCTGTTTTCACTGGAGGCTTGGCATGTTGTCTCCATCCACCAAGCTGGAGTCCGAGCCGGAGGCGGCGTTCGCAGCGCAACAAACTTCGCCCGAAGCCGCCGAGCGAAGCCGCCGCACCTGGCGCCGCGACGCGTCGCCAGGTGGAGCGCGCCGCGCAGCTCTTTACGGAGCTGGTCCAGCAGCACGGCCGCGCAGCTGAGCTTCCGTGTGGGGAGAGGTCTGCGATGGGCGAAGAGTTTCCCGTAATAGTGGCTCTTTTTTGCTTAGTATTGTTAAGTTATGTGGGCAGCTGAAAAGCAGCACAATTTTCGCTAAATCATTTTGTTCGCTGCAGAACTTCGTATTTCTGCCTTATTCAACTGTTCCCATCTGGTTCATGAGTTTCCAGGCCGTTCCTGCGGGTTCCCGTAATGGTGGCTCTTTTTTGCATAGCATTGTTAACTAAGTTATGTGGGCAGCTGAAAAGCAGTACGAACTTCAGCAAAATGATACTGTTGGCTGCAGAACTATCTGGTTCATGAAGTTTCTTCAGAAACCCACAAATGGGTTTCTGCATTTGTGGGTTTCTGAGGCACCGCTCTCGCGCCGGTCCTGGAGGAGCTCGAAGCGTCGCGTGTGCCATGCGATCCGTGCTGCGTTCCTTGCGGCACGAAGGACTGCCACCCCGGGGCCTTGCTGCAGAAGCTGGCGCCGGGAGCTCATGCTCAGAGCCTGGTGGATGTGTCTTTTTTGTTGGGGAACCTCCCAAAATTGTGGTTTTCCGTCGGCTTTCCTTTGGAACACCCACAAGCCTGGGGGTTCCCCTAACAAAAAACCGGTTGACCTACCCTTTACCCTTGTGCCAAGGAAGGACTCCCGGTGCTCCGCAAAGACGAAGCAGCATGCCGCAGCCCCAAAGGGTTTGGTGTCCGATCCGATCCGATCGCCACATCGATCTGAAGCGCGAGCGCGCTCCGAGCAAGGCCTTGGCAGGGAGGAGAGCCTTGGAGCCTGGCGCCCTAGACCTGGGGTTTGGCAACCAAGGCAGACTGAGAATCAGAGGTTTGGGGTGCTGGCGCTTCGGAAGACTTCCACTTTTTGGCAAGGCAGATTGAGAATCGTTTTTTTTGGGGGGAAATCAACCAACTCCGGGTTTCAGTCTGTGCTGGGGTAGCCAAACAGTGGAACTCTGCTCGGATCTCAGGAGAGCTGGGCATCCGCCCAGGGCGCGGGCGGAAAGCCTGGCGGACCGCAGGCTGCAATCGGCGGGTGCCGCTGTTGCACATGCTGGCGACTCTCCAGGCGCTGGGATGAGCCCGGAAGTGATTTAGTACTGTCGATGGTTGCGCAATCCAGAAATCGCATCACGACCTGAAGCCATGGTACGGAAACCATTGTTTGTTGGTATCTATACTCATTCCAGGGTTTCTTGGGTGGTGCAGGATGTCGTCCATCCAAAGAATTCCAAAGAATCCCTAGTGAGCAAGTCTCCTTGGTAGAATTCAATGACTCTTCAACCCACCTCAATGGAAATTGCCCTTCATACAACCCACTTGGGGGATAACTTATGGAGACTTGTTGAGTGGGGATGCTATCCACCTGACCATGGGACCTTTGGTCATAGGGCTGAGCTCTTGTAGCTGTGCACAGGTCGGGGCCACAGCCGGTCATCCTCAGAGAGGCGTGTACCACCCCGGTGCGTGTTCTTTTGCGGTACCCACAAAACGATGACTATCCTCAAGTTTCCCTCCCTCCAAAAACACAGCACAGCCATCCGACCGTCGGGGGAAGCGCCTCACGCAGAGGCGCACCCCAACACCTTTGCTGCCGGGTGGAGTGACTCTGCGCATGCTGTGCGGGCCTCGCAGAGCTCGCGCAGGGTGTCTTTGTCAAAATAGGCGGACCCCCCAAATGGTGGTTTCCTGTTAACTTCCTAAATTAACCACCGCAGAAGGAGCCGCAATGAAGCACACGTTTCATGTGCCGGTCAGCGAGGCTGGATCAGGGCCTTTCCTGGGACTCTGCGCAAATGCGGCGCGCCTTGTCAGAGTTTGAGGCGCGTGTCAGAGTTCGCAGAGTCTGTGGGGCGTGCGTTTTGCACCTGCACAAGGCCAAAGTGGCAAACAGCTCCGAGGCGCATCGAAGAGAGAGCACTCATGTGCGCTCATGTCCCGTGAAGTCAAGGATATGCACCAACACGCTCGCTGAAAAAGCAGATGTGGTCGCAGAAGTAGCGGCAGTGGCGGAGTATGTTGCAGCCTGTGAGTTGCCAAGTCGTAGAGTGTCCCAAGTCGCACCGCTTTTATTTAGGCTCTATGGGGATGTGTGCAGCCGCAAACCCCCTGTTCAGGGAGTTCTCTGCCAAGAATCATGCTTGCATAGCCTAGTTCCTCCTTTTTCCAGACACTTTTTCCTAAAACCAGTCACAGTTGATGGGAAAAAGCAGCAACCAGCAGTCCAGGCACTCATTTCTTGCTCGTCAGGTGGCTTTGCGAGAGCTTGCTGCGGACTCAGGCTGTGCAGAGGCCTGGATCGGCCATGAAGTGCCCATGAATTCTGTTGAACAAGGGGCCACCTCAAGAGTGGTGGCCCACTTCCTCACCGTTTTTTTTTTTTTTTTTTGACACACCAGACCCGAAATGATCCCCTCAGAGATCACGCTACTATTGCCCTCACTTGGTGTCATGGCGGGATTCCAAGGGCGGCATGAGGCGGCGCAAAGCGACTCCTTGGCAGGTGGTGGCCAGGAGTCTGCGCTCCAGGGCGCTGATGCCTCAGCGGGGTCACATCAATCTCGATCCAGTTCGCTGGATGGCCCACAAATACAAACTCCCTTCCCCAAAGGAGTTGGGGGAGATCATTTTCCATTTTGTTTTTGTTCGCAAACTCCCCCAAGGAGTCTTGGGATATTTTTTTGGTGTTTTTTCTTTTGTTTTGACTCCCCAAAGCAGTTGGGGAAGCCGCTTTTAGTTTTCCGCGGGAGGATTCCTCGCTGGCACTCGAGAGGTAAGTCGCCGGAGAGCAAAACCGGCCTTCCGGTGCCCAGGGCGCTGCCGCTCAGCTCTATCCTGGCAAGATTCGTAGGCGCGCCGCCCAACAAGCCGCGAGACTGGGGCCACCAGGGTCTGTCGGTCGTTTTTTTTAGGGGGTATATACACCTTGTTTGGGTGGTTTCAAAGGGAAGCCAAAAGGAGAGCCGCCATGTTGAGGGCTCCCCTAAAAATAAACACATCCGCAAGAGCCACAGATCTTGCCCGTTTTTGTGTTTCTCGGAGGCGACGCGCGGGCTCGGAGCACATTTGCACAGCTCTTCAGCAAGTATCTGCGCTTCGCCGAGGCTGTCGAGGCAACGAGTGGGAAGTCTCTGGGATTTGGGGAGTTGACCCAACTGCCCCGACCTGCCCCCCCCCCCCCCTCTCTTGGTGGCCTTTTCCTTAGGTTCTTAGGTTTTTTGGTTGGTTTAGTGGCTGGGTGTCCATTTAACACACTAAAAATTAAACTTTTAGCAGGGGATCAGAAAATGGACAGCCCCGTTTTGTGAGACCAAACTTTTGTTGGCGGGGTTGGTTTTGGCAGTTGCGATCGGTTTCCAATGCGCACGGGGTGCTGATCGGTTTTCAACGCGCTGCCAATGCGGCCACATTTTCCAGGCTCTCCACGGTTTTCAGCGGTATCCATGGTATCAATAGTTTCCGCGGAATTCATGTTGTCCACGTTTTCCACGGTTTCCACGGTCTGCATGGTTTCAACGGTTTCCACTGTTTGTATTGCTTCCACGGTTTCCATGGTTTCCAGCCCGCAATGCCCAGCGGGCGCCCAAAGGCGCAGGAAGGAACTTGCGCAGAAAGCACTCGGTTGAATGCCCTGCGGTCGGCCTTCGGCCACTAGCAATCATGACAGGTCTTTGCGTCACTGTGTTGTAAAATCGAGCGTCATTTGCGGTCCATCTTTTGCAAAACGACAATGACATTGGTTGTAACATGGTCGCAGTGCGTTGCAAAATGGCCTTTTCTTCAGGCAAGCCACAATCAAAACCCGATTAAGGATAGTAAGTGACAATCCCAGCCAGAAGTGGGTGCGGATATGGGCCGCTCTAACTTCTTTACCCTAGGTGTTGGGACACCAACAATGTATACCGACGGGTTTGGATCACGACTCATGCGCGCGCGCGCGGCTGTGTGTGTGTGTGTGTGTGTGTGTGTGTGTGTGTGTGTGTGTGTGTCTGTGTGTGTGTGTGTGTGTGTGTGTCTGTGTGTGTGTGGGTGTGTGGGTGTGTGCGTGTGTGCGTGTGTGCGTGTGTGCGTGTGTGCGTGTGTGCGCGTGCGCGTGCGCGTGCGCGTGCGCGTGCGCGTGCGCGTGCGGCGTGCGGCGTGCGGCGTGCGGCGTGCGGCGTGCGGCGCGGCGGCGTGCGGCGTGCGGCGTGCGGCGTGCGGCGTGCGGCGTGCGGCGTGCGGCGTGCGGCGTGCGGCGTGCGGCGTGCGGCGTGCGGCGTGCGGCGTGTGCGTGTGCGTGTGCGTGTGCGTGTGCGTGTGCGTGTGCGTGTGCGTGTGCGTGTGTGTGTGTGTTTGTCAAGAAACAACTAAGAGGACATGAGGACACCGCTCTTTTTTTTGGGAAGCTGCTCGGCTCAGGCGGCGGCTTCCTGGCCGCCACCGTTGGGTCCGCTGCTGGCGGTGCTGGAGGAAGATCTGCTGCAAGCTGCGAAGGCGCCAAATGGGCGCCGCCGGGGAGCGCCCCAGTGGGCGAGTCCGAAAATTCGGCCGTTTTGCAGTAGGTTGGGTTCTGTCTGGCTTCGTCGGGTGTACAGTAAATCGTTATATTAAAAAAAAACATATGACTACATGTATATATACATATATATATATATATACACATATACACGCAGTATATACCTTTACACCCACCTTTGAATCGAAAGTCAACGGGTTTTGGTGGCTGCTCGTTTGGGCCTTCAGCTTGAGCGGCCCACCTGGCCCACTGGCCCACTGCTGTGCTGAGGGATTGGCTTTCCTGCTGCCCCTCCCCTACCTGGCATTTGAATTTGTTTGGTCTTCAAGAAGAGCTGACATTCATTCGCGGCTTGCACTTGTTTGGGCAAGGGCGACTGGTGGGTTTGCGGTTCCTGCGGTTGGTTTTGATCCTGCCACGAGCTTGCAGCGCCGCTTTCTGGCGGAAGCACCCGTGAACGGCTTGCACTTGTGCTTTGGGTAGGGGAAACCCAAAGGAAACTCCCGATCTTGCGGCTTCCCCTTTGAGACAAACCCAGTTCAATTGCCTAGCGGACATTTTGGGCCCTTTGCTTTCCGGACGGCAGGTCAGGCCAGTCACTGCTGAGATCACGGCCCTGCTGGCGGGGGATTCGGCGGATTCGGAGCATAGAAGCTGTTTGTTTGTGTTGGTTCCGATTCTCTTCATTTTTCGTAATTAGGTGGCTGCAGAAAGCGTTGAACTTGTTTGTTTTTTAATTCCAATCCGTTTGGGTTGTGAGGCATGAAAGCTTAGCAGTGGTACCGCGCAGTGCGCGAGATCGTGCGAGGCCCTTCTCAATGTCCAAGTGGCAGAGCTCCAGGCGGGTCGAGTTTGAAGGGGGACAAGTCACCCCCAAAGTCACCTGAAAACAAGGGGGTCCCTTTCCTTTTAACAACACAAACAAAGGGGTACCAATCCCCCAAAAAATGATGAGCCAAGCTCGCCCTCTAAAACGCCCCTGATGCGCCGCTGGGCGTTTTGGGCTTCGCGCAGGCCTTCGGCTTGCGGATGATGCGGAAGCTTCTGGACCCCAACACGCGGCTGGCGGCGGATGCGGCGAGAGAGGTGTCCCCCAAGGCGGAGCTTCCATGGGATTTTTCGGGCGAAGCTGTCGTGGCGTTTGAGCTTCCGAGCTGCGCGGAATTTCTTGAGTCGGGAGGTTCTCCAAATGGCCCTCCCTTGGTCTAAGCTGGAATTCATACAAATGGAAAAGAGGGAAAACAGCCGTTCGTTGTTTTTTTTTGAGACAACATGGCAGGCCATCAACCAGGCGCTGTCTTCGGTGATGCCCACGCACCCGTTGGCATGTGCCGACCTTACCTGCGTGGAGATCTTGCGGTGGTTCGCGCTTGCGCGACACCGAGGCTTGGACATCCTTGGGACGCTGGCGTTGAAGGAGGCAGAGGGCTCCCCCCATGCTTTTTTGTGTGATCCGGCCCGTTGCTGAAAAAACATGAGCGAAATCAAGCCCGGATAGTTTAAGGTGCAGGGGACAGTCCCAGCCAGAAATGGTGCGGATATCCACCCGTTTAGTTTTCTGCACCATGGGTTTTGAGCAGACTTACACAAGTACCAGGTTGTGATAGAGACTCACACGATGTTCTGGGTAGCGCAACAGGACTTCCGGAACTATTTCTCCTCCCAGCTGTCGCTTCTGAAGTTCTTAGCTCACTGCTGCCAGCCGGGCACCCGGTTCGCCTGAAACCGTTTGCTTTTGGCGTCCAAAGGGACCCAACAAATTGTTGTTCTTCATTTAGCTTCTTCTCAATCCAAAGGTAAGCCAGGACCCAACAAATCGCAATTTCTGGTTTTGGCTTCCTTTTCAATCCAAAAGGTAAGCAGGGCACCTTCACGGGGGTGACACCGCTCACCTTTCTTGGCAGGCCGGACAAGACGCCGTCGCCTTCGGGGGATCAGCTTGCGGTGCAGAGAGCCGCCAGCAGGCGCGGAAGGCATGCGGCATATGTCACAAACGCCCTCCCCCCTCCAAAAAAACAAGACCTTGCCCGCCCTTGCCTTATTTTTGGCAGCTCTGAGCGTGTGTTCTGTGTGCGCCTGCCTCTTGTTCTTTTTTTTGTGTGTGTTTCCCTGGTGTCGCTTTTGCATCTTCCACGTCTCTCTGAGTCCCGGGCCTCACAGGCCTCGCGGGCCTCGCGGGCCTCGCTCGCCAGGTGCCTGGCGCACCTGGCGTCCCTGCCGGCCGTGAGGGACTGGGCGCGGAAGTCCGCGCTCCAAGGCGAAGCCGAGCGAGCGCGAGCCGAGGGCAATCACAGAGGGTTTCCCTTTGGGGGACATCAACCACCCCTGGGTTTTAGTCTATTTTGGGTCAAAAAGTCAGAATCATCATTCTCTCTGAGAACCAAGACGAGTTGGTTGCGTTCTGGTGGCGGAAGAGACCCAGGTGCCAAACCCGGCAAGACTCCGCACAAGAAAATTCGCGATTGGCAACCACGGCAGACCCCCAAACGAATCATGATATCCCTGCCAGCCTACCAGGGGTGTAGTTTGGAAGCATCAGAGTTTCATTCTGTGTGTTCCGTGTGCCAAGCTAAGAAGTGGCAGCCAAACAATAACTTAGTAGAGGCTGCTTTGGCAGCTGCAGTGTTTTAGGCCAGAGCGTTTGGTTGCAGTCTTGTAGGGAGGCAGGCTTGCTCTCGTTTGATTCCAAATGCATGTTTGTTTTGTTATCGGATCTGCAGGTAGCTGGCCATGCAACATTTAGGACTTTTCAGGCATTCCTCTTGGCCTGGCACGGGTTGAACCAAGTCTGTCTCCTTGGTCACCCGCGCAGTGCAAAAACAAACGGCCAGGCCTCCATGCTTCAACCAGCGATCTCACAGTGCGCGCTTACATAGGCGGGTTTCATAGAGAGGAGTCATGAGGCATGAGAAGTCCAGACCGGATTTACAGTCAAGGCTGGTGAAGGCAGGTCAAGGCATGTCAAGGCTGCTGTTGAGCTCTGTCTGAGCGTTTGACTCGAACGCCTTGTGGACTTTGAAACCACTGATTGGGATCCCTTTTGATTAAAGAGAGACTTGCGTAGCAGGAAGTCTAAGCCGTTGCTATGTTGGTGGGTAATTCAGTGATTTCCTGGTATTCGCATCAGCTCTCAAAGAAAAAGAGCGAATCGCCAGGCATTGCACTGGGCCTCGCTGAGACAGAGCGCTAACGAGTAGACGAGATTCCCTGATGTGTCGGGAACCGGAAGCCCGGGAGCAATGCGCCGGCTGTCTTTGTTTGAGATGTTTTTGACACCAAAGGACAACTGTTGCGCCATTCTGGAGGGGTCCCCTACAAAGGACACAACCGCCACTTAGGATGGCCAAACCTCTGCCAAGTTCACTCAACCAGGTCGGATGAGTTTGTTGGCCTCTCCGTGGGCTTCGGCATGGGCGAAGAACGCCAGCCGTGCGAAATGCTTAAATCGAAGTACGGACCCGCGCTGGCAGTGCACGGTTGGTGTCAAGATCTCGATGGCAGCTGGCTTCCGCAGCGTGAGATCAAATAGCTAGCAGCAAAAAATGATTGCCCAGCACGCCTGGAGACAGCCGCAAGTTCACTGGGATCTTCCAAGACACCTCCGCAGCTCACAGGCACCTCTCGGCAGGGAAAGGCTAGGCGCTCAAGCACCCAGACTGTGAGCACCCATGGCCCGGAAGCTGGGGGGCCCAGTGCAGCCTTAACCCCAGGTACCCTCCCACCAGCGAACATGGAAGGGCGCAGACCTCTGTAGAAAGACTTTCCTCTTGGGTAGTTGGCCTTTCTGCACTTCCATGTCAGTTGGTGGGAGGGTACTCCAGTTGAAACTAGGGTTATACTAAGTACAGTGGGATGGAGTAGACGGCGCAATTCAGACCTTCTAGGGAAGACACCAATAACAAAACCGAACAGGAGAATAGGTGGCTACCTACTATACGGGTTTGCCTGGGATCCACCGGGATACCGGATGGTGAACATCAATCCTTCTTTGTGGCCCCTATTTGACACCGCCCACGTGTGTGTTTTTTCCTGCCCTGGTTTGTCTGGCACCGGGGAAAAACCGCCCCCAAAAAGGGGAAAGTAAATGAAAATAGGTGGTTACCTACTACAGGGTTTTGCTTGGGATTTCTGGGACACCCTTGACTTGCCTAAAGGAAAGTGTTCGCCACGTGCGCCACTCCCCCCGGGGCTCTTCTTCGGTTGAAAAAGGCGAAGGTGATGAGCACTGGCGCGGATGCGGGCGCGGGCACTGGCGCGCAACCGGCGCCGACGCCCTATGAGGCGCTTGGGAGTCGCTCCCAGAGGCTGCAACCACAAATGGACTCGCACATTCAGGTGGCCTTCCCAGGCTGTTCCAGGCGATGTAAAACCACTTGGAGGGGCACTAAGGGGGGCACGTTGGGAATGGGAATCGGATTTTCAACGTGAAAGGGGGTTTTCTTTCGCTTTCCAAGTAAAACAAGTTACAAGTTAATTTCATCCCAAACACTTGCAGTTTGTGTGAAACTGCCGAGGTGAAGAGAAGCATGTGGGCGGCTCGTCTTTTTTGGGGTCCCGACCCTCTCCTTTGATGTTAGAAGGACAAGAGGAACCCCGCAGACGCCATTTCGTTTCGGAATGGTCTCGATTCCGAGCATGCCGCGCAGACGGGCCCGGCAACGGCCGCTGCTCCACAGCACGCTGCTAAGTGTGGATATCGGAGAAGGATGGCCTTCTTGTTGGGTGGTTTTGGGGTTTTGGGGCTTTAGCGGGACACCAAAGAGGAAGACCGAAATCCATGTTGGGGCTCCCCCTAGTTGAACGCACGCCCATTTGAGATGCTTTTGGCTCAGTTCAGGTCTCTTCCCGCCCTTCCAGAGGAGGCTGAAGCTGGCGATGGTCGTCGGGAGGAGAATGAAGCAGGATGGCGAGCATTTTGATTCCATCGCTTGTTCCCTTAGGAGTCCGACCTGCTGCAGTACTCGCAAACTCTGGGCCGCGTGCAGAAAGAGATGCTCAGAGAGTGTCTCATAACTTGGTGGTTCCCAGTCATCCCCTTGGCTTTTTTGGTTTTTAGTTGGTTTAGTGGTTGGGCTCCAATTAACCCACTAAAAGTTAGTGGGGATGTGAAAACGGACAGCCCGGCGAAATGCTTCATGAACGCTTGGTTGATGTTTTCCAGGGACACCAAATGGCAACCCTTCAAAGATGCTTGGACAACCCTGTAATTGAGACAGACTTCTCACTTCGAACGCCTCTGAGGCGTTGACCTGGAGCGGCACTCGGACCTGATGTGGGTCGTCGAGCAGGCGGGCCCCTGGATTTGTTTTCTTTCTTTTTCTTGCTGTGACAGGGAATGTGGAATTGGAATGAACCGGTTTTGGATTCTTAATTAAAGGACACCACCAGTTGGATGGTTTTTCTTGCTGTAAAGGAAACCACCCGTTGGATGGTTTTTTCTTGGGGTCCTTCCATGTCTCCTTCCCTGCATCTCTCGAACGCAGCCGCCAGAGTTTTTGTCTTGGGGAGGCCTTCAATGCGCCGCTGCCCATGAGCTGGACGGAGTACACCGACGACGAGGGCCGGGTCTACTTCTTCAACCAGGCCATGACTACGCCATGGATCGCTTGGAAAATCCGAGCCCGGACTCGTTGATCGCCCCGTGTTCTCGAGAAGTGCCTTTGATGTGGGGATGGATCAATGTTCCATTCAGGGTCCCAGTTTTGACCATGGGCAACTTTTCCCATCTTTGTGGGAATGATCATCTTTTTAGTGGTTTTCCTTCCCTACTGGTCATCCAATGTATCACTGACCTTGTGATCAAGCGCCGCATGTCCAGCGTGCGCTGGGTCAGCTTTTTCGGCTCGAGGTCAAGACACCCAGCTCTCTCATTTTTTGTTAAAGAGCAGCTCCCGCTTCGAGCCCAACGCGTGCTTCCAGTCACCAAAACGCGGGGCCCGATGACCACCGAGACGCTGAAGATCAACGATGGCACCACCATGGAGATCGCCCGGCTGCCGGACGTGGACGACGCCACCTGGGCAGAGCTGAAGGCCTATGTGGAGGGCAACCCGGAGACCGCCAAGACGCTGCAGAGCTTCGCGAAGAACCCGGAGGCGCCGGGGCTTTTCCGTCGTCCCGTCCATTTTTTTAAAAGGGGGCCTGTGGAAAGAATAGCAGGGGCTGGGGTCATCATTTTGATGGCTTCTGGTGGTTATCAAAGTCACAAAATGTGGGTGTTTCCCTTTATCCCACCACTTACGGGGTGACTTTGATCATGGTAACATAATGAAGCCAGATGGGCCTTGAACTTTGCAGAAGACCCAACCAGAAGGATATCCAAGTTGGGGGTGTGGTGCCTAAAATGCTTAAGGCTTCCTAGCTCCCAAAAGATATGGCGCCGACAAAAGCTTGTGCTTGCAGCTTCACAGCCCAAGCTCTCTAACCCCGGAGGCCATGCGAGGATGGTTGCAAACCCAGGCCATCGCCGAGCACTACAACACCAAGCTCTCCAACGGGGATACCCCGGTCCAGGACAAGGTGAAAAGCCTGGAATCGGATCCTGAGCTGGCGGCCGTTTTCGAGGACATCAAGAAGACCCTTGGCAATGGGATCTCTGGTGTGTGCTTCGTGTAGGAATCAGACTCCCGCAAAACTGGCGCAACGGGTTTCCTTTTGTGGGTTTCCCTGCAACACCACTCCAAAAGGCGTGACCTGAAAAAAGGACACCCTTTTCTGGTGTTTTGCCTTTGGGTTCCCTAACCAACCCCAACATGAAGGAATCTCTTTTATTTCCCTTCCCTGTGGTTCCAATGCGTAAGGAACGGCATGGAGGCTGCCATGAAGTACTACCAGGACTTCCCCCACCCTTAAGAATGGCAACCAGGTAGGGATGGGTCAAAATTAAACCACCAGGGGACCGCAGGTTTTAGTCCATGTTTCCATTTACCAGGGTTCCCTTTTGGGTACCTAATTTTGACCCACAGGCAGGTAGGGATACGTACTACGTCAGATGCACATAACATGCACATAAGCCAACCAGACCCACTCTCCCTTGTCTTGCTGGCTCGTTCTCGGCAGGGAATTGAAATTGGAATGACTCCAAGAAGAAAAAGCGATCCAACTGCTGTGGAATCCTTTAATTAAGGGAATCCAACCAAAATCGGTTCATTCCAATTCACAACTCCCTACCCATCGCACTTCCCTGCTGTTCCCCATAATGTACACCCCGGATTAATAAACCCCTGGTTGATTAATATGGGGGTGAATTCCTCTTTTAGTGGTTGGATTCGGACCACTTTTGGAGGGACCACCCCCAATCCGGGGGCAACATCACGTGCTTAACATGTCATGATGTGGGGCGTTTTTTCAGGACGAGGAGCTGATGCTGAAGATCTCCCAGAAGATGGGGGGACTGCCTGCGGAGCTGAGCCCCGTGCTGCAGAAGATCGAGGACACCGCCATGACGCTGCACGAGCCTCGGCCGGTTGGCCGGTTGGCCGGTTGGCGGGTTGGCGGGTCTGAAGGCGGTGGGCGGTGGCTGTTGTCTGCAAGCCTGAGCATATGGCCATGGGCGGCATAACCTATAGCGATCCCATTTTTGGGTGGAGGAACATCCATCTGCAAGCTATTTTGATGTTCACCAGGGGTACAGGGTTTTGACCCACAACCATCTTCTTGTTTTTTTTGTTTTTGAGGGAGCCCTTTTTGGAGTGGTGTTTGAAGGGAACAAGAGGACAAATCACCGATTCTTCTTGGTCCATATCTGATTTTGAGACACACCCATGCGTTTTTCTTCTTTTTGGTTGGTGGGGGAACACGATGCTTTTGTTGGCTTGTGGGGGGGAACGGATATTTTTTGTGTTGGAACAATACGCAAGTCCAAGGAAGCTGCCAAGAGGGGGGACCTGACGGCGGTCAAGAGCTTCTTGGACAGGAAGAAGCCGTTGGACGCCCAGGACTCATTCCTTATGGACCGTTTTGTTTTAGGGGTTTGAAGTCAGCAAATGTTTTGTTTTTTGCTTTTCAGTCTTTTTTGGGTGTGTCAAAGTCAGCACATGTTTCTCGTTCCTTATTCAAAGTCTTTTCTTTTTGCCCCCGTTGTTTCTCAGCTACCACTGAAAGGGCCTTAGGGTTGACGTAGGGTGAAATCCATGGGAGGACTAGGTTTGTTTTCCTTTCACCTACCACTGAGCGGGGTTGCCCTTGATTCGAGGAGCCATCGTTCTTTTTCAAAAATCAGCCATTTCCCCAGGGTTTCAAAGGTGGTTT